GGAGAGCTCCGCACCTCACAGTAAGCACGGATATTGCCCGATCACGCTGCACTTCAGAATTAGAGCCCGACCGATATATCGGTTGGCCGATATTATCGGCTGATATGGGCAACTTTAGGCATATCAGCTATCGGCCGATATGCTTGCTGATAGGGGCCGATATTTCACGTGGGCATGTTATACCTCGTTATAAAGCTTAGACTCTCTACATTATGTTTATTTAATCCAATTTACAGACAGATAAATGTCCTAATATGTGGCTCCGCATCAGTATTTATCTATGGAGTCATTTGTCTGTGTGTGTCCGTACTGTCCCTGAACACACCACAGAGTCGCGTCACTCATGTGTGTTTGTTTACACCTACAGACACAGATCCAAACACTGAGATTATATTCTTTTTACAGACAATCGGTTTGAGTCTGGATTAAAAGGACATTTATTAGTGCAGATTTGTGATGTGAGGAGGAGCCTGTGTGAGCGGTGAGTGTTGGAAATATGTCGACTCTGAAGCTAGTTTTTGTCATTTGTTATGGGTTAGCTGCTGTAGCTCCCGCACATAAACAGGCTGTTTTCTATTGGTCTGTTCTAAAGTGACTATATTGGCCGTATATTTGCTACTGGACCTGCACTGATATGTAAATGAGCTGTGAATAGACGTGTGAATTATGACATTGGCACATAGAATTAATTACCGCGGTGCGCACGTATTTACGGCTAAAGGCTAATAGCGCTACTTTCTTTACTAGTTATGGGTCCGTCGCGAACGAAATGACTCTTAGAACCGGCTCTTTGAAGGGAACGACGGGAGCCTGATCCTTATTGGGAGCCGTGTTTTCTCTCACTTTTTTTCTCTTCACGCCGCGTGCAGATTCGTGGTTTGACAGCGGCAGCGGCTGAAAACGAAACTTTGAGAAATTTGCGTGTACGTAGGATAAAAAAAAACAACAAAAAAAAAAGAGCATATTTGACTGTAGTTTAGCATAAAATAAATAAGTCCCGGTTTAGTTCTTTTTCAGTCCTGGTTTAGACCTGGTTCAGTCCTGATTCAGTCCTGCTTTAGACGTGCTTTAGTCCTGCTTGCAACAAAACAATCTGAAGAGCCGCTCGGGAGCCAAAAGAACCAGCAGCTTTTAGTGAGCCGAGCCAAAAGAGCCGGTTCTCTAAAAAGAACTGGAATACCCATCACGAGTGTCTAGAATGTGATGCAAAAATGCCATTAAGCCAAACTACTGTCTGCAAATATGATGTAAAGAGGCAGAATAACAATAAATGTTGCCTAAATAAACCCAATTTAAAATCCACCAGAGCCAAACCTAAGTTTTTTAAACAATTCAACATTTACAGTGAATTTTTACATCACTAAATATATCGGCGATTATATCAGCTATCGGCAGCTACAACTTTCATTATATCGGTTTCATATCGGCCACAGCAAAATCCATATCGGTCGGGCTCTATTCAGAATCACACTGCTAGAGATCGAACATTTATGTAAATTTGGCAGCTGAACACATTCTGTACTGTACAGGAGACACGGCACGGAGGAAATTGATTGACAATGGTCTACAGTCCCTTAGCCAGTGAGGACGTAGGGGGAGGAACACAATACATGCTCAAACACTGTAAAAAAAACAAAAAAAAACATGGAAAATTGCACTAAAATATCCACAAAACAGCAAGACCGCAAAAGGTGAACTGCGATATAGTGAGGGACAACTGTATAGACACATCAAGAATTTCGGACCTCCGGTCATTGCGCAATGCATACTGGGAAGGATTTTCCGAAAAAGTGAGCATCAAACCGCGATGTTTGATTTTACAGTGGGATGCGTCTATTGACAAAGTCGATCTTTTCAAGTCTTTTGAACCATATCACTTTTGTTTCTGGTTCTGATATTGTCATATTTTAGTTTTGGAATTCAGACATCGTTAATTGTGTGGTTGTTGGATCCTAACAGTAGAAAACTACTCGAGAAATTTGTTTGTGAACTCCATAAATACAAAAGTGAATCAGATGTGTGTGACTGCAAAACTCTTTTCAAACTGTTTCCCTTCCTAATGGAATTGAAAAATAGTGAAAGGTGAAGGCGATGGGCAGTATTGATCCACAGGAAGGACGAAAAAGGAAATATTTGACTGCCTAAATCATCCTGAGTTTGTAGCAAACATTTTGTATGTGGAGCACCATCAAAGCGGGATCCCGATCCCTCGCTCCGCCATGGTTACGAATTTAAAAAGTCAACGCCAAAGCGAAAAGCACCAGCTGTTCACCAAGAAACACCTTCCACAGCAAAGAGACCAAGACGTGATGTTGCTGTAAAACCACAAGAACAAGAAAGTGTGAGTTCAGCCTGTTTGTCTTCTGTACCTCTCGATTAACAAACAGGATCCCACTTTGATGGCGCTCCACATACAAAATGTTCGCTGCAAACTCGGGATGATTTAGGCAGTCAAAAGTTTCCTTTTTCGTCCTTCCTGTGGATTAATCCTGCCCATCGCCTTCGCCTTTCACTATTTTTCAATTCTGTTGGGAAGGGAAACAGTCTGAACAGAGTTTTGCAGTCACACAGATCTGATTCCCTTTTGCATTCATGGAGTTCGCAAACACATTTCTTGAGTCGTTTTCCGCTGTTAGGACATCTAACAACCACACAATTAACGATGTCCGAATCCCAAAACTAAAATATAACAATATCAGAACCAGAAACAAAAGTGATATGGTTCAAAAGACTAGAAAAGATCGGCTTTGTCAATAGACGCATCCCACTGGGAAACATGGCGGTCTGATGCTCACTTTTTCTGAGAATGCTTCCCAGTATGCATTGCGCAATGACTGGAAGTCCGAGATTCTTGATGTGTCTATACAACAAAACATTAGAAATAAAAAAAGAAAGGCACATGTGATTGTGGTTTTACTTGAAACTTTGAGATGTGTGATGTCGCTTCATCTGTTTCACTGTCAACCTTATCCATATTTCCTGTTAAAGGTACACTTTGTAACTTTTTGGGCGGGGGTTTGTCATCATCTTGTTTCCATGGTTATGTCATTGATCTGCCTGGAATGTTCCACAGTATGACATTAAACAGATTACCTTACATTTATTCAATTACAGGTGGTTTCATTTAAAAAAAACACCTAGAAAAACAGACATTTTGCTTCTGAGCAGGGTCGCCTCTCCACAGATCGGACCAGAAAAGTTACACAGTGCACCTTTAACAACCTTAGAGTGTCCATATTAGCAGTTTTGAAGATGATGCCGATGATGAAACACAATGTAGAATTCAATTTGTGAGACTGAAATATGAAGTTACAGATACAAAATGTTTAGCCTTTAATGCAGTTCCCTTTAGTATTCATGCACTAGAACATTTGACGCTTTGTCTCCCCTTAGTGGTCAAAATTAAACATTACACAAACATAAGAGAGAATCAACACTTACAGAGAATATCCAGAGGTGTAAGTACATTTATTTGAGTAACTTTTAAATACAATTTTACTTATGGATTACTTTTGAGGCACTGTTCTTTTAGTCCTGCTTAACATTATGATTCCTGTTGGCAATATTAAAGGTCCTATCTTACGTAAACTTGACTCTTGTGAGCTTTAAGTCATGAGTTGTGTTTTGGTTCATTCACACATCTCCAAAGCACAAAATGGTCTGTTGCACCTTGTGATGTCATATAGTGGTACCTTTCAAGTTTACACCTTTTACCTTTTCGCTTGAAAGAAGATTAAGATTAAGTATTAAATATGAATTAATGAAACAAAACTCAACTCTGTGTATGTTTGTGAGGAGGATTGTACATTATAACATATGAAAATAGTGTAATATGGGCTCTTTAACTCAAACAACATATTTGGACCCATAATATGTAAAACCCTATAACAAAAGTCAGTCTGATGTAACCACAGTACAGACGACAGCAATATGAGATGCTTCCTGGTTGGTCTAGATAGTATCATTCTGTTTGCGTTGTGCTCTAATCAAATAGAGCCTATTATCAAACCTGTAATGTGTCCATCATTCTTGGAATTCTAGGTATTTTGAGCTATAAAACTACTTGTAACTGAATAAATGTAAGGTAGAGCTGTTTAATGTCATACCATGGAACAATCCAAACAGAGCAATGACTACAGAAACAAGAAACAAGGTGACAGAACCCCCAACCAAAAAGTTACACAGTGCACCTGACCTTCAAGACCCACTTTTATTCTTTGGCTTTTAACACTTACAGTAATTTGAATTTATCTGATTGGTTTTATTTATGGATTTCTCTTTCATGGTTTTGCTTTTCTTTGATTTGATTATTTTCTGATATGTAAACAGACCTGGAGTTATGTTTTGATCCTTGACACGTTTAACACACAAACCCTGCATATTTAGACTGAGTTCTTTTCTCTCAAACTGAAAACATTCTGTTCCACCTTGTGATGTCATGTGGTAATACTGAAAGTGCTCAACTGTGGATTGGTGAAGTGTCTGCAGTGATGCAGACACTGTATCGGACCATTGTGGTGAAGATGGAGATGAGCCGAAAGGCAAAGGTCTCAATTTACTGCTCAATCTACATTCCTGCCCTCACCTATGGTCAAGAGCTTTGGGTAATGACTCAAAAGACAAGATACAAGATACAAGCGGTTTCCTCTGCAGGGTGGCTGGGTGCTCCCTTAGAGATAGGGTGAGGAGCTCAGTCACACAGAAGGCTCAGAGTAGAGCCACTGCTCCTTTTTTTTAACTGTTTACGGAATGTTATGTAAATAAAGTGGATTGGATTGAATAATTTAACCCGGATTTATTTACCATCCTGGTTTTGTCAACATTTAATCTAATCTAATGCCCGTGATAGCTGGCCAAGTATCTGGAATCCTGATAGTGGGACAAATAGAGGTTATCTTATCTAAATAAAGGCCATTCTACGATGTGAAATTTTGACAACAACTTAAAAAAAAAAAAAAAAGTTTATATCCAACATAAACAAAATACCTTTCATGACTCACCTGAACGTACTGTATTTCTCTTACATAAGTCCATTTCACACTTATAACCTGGCATTACATCAACCTGGCCACAGGATTACAACAATATTGCACCATAACATTGCTATAGTTAATTATATGAACCACCTCCCGCCTGTGATTGGTCAGACGCTTAATTATTCAAAACTTCTGCACTCTGATTGGACAATTTAGCCAAAGGGGGCGGGTCCACAGACTTGACCACGCCTTTCTCATGATTATTACTAAACCACTAATAACAACTTTAAAAGGCTGGGATTACGTATTGAAACAGAGTATTTTGCTCAAACCTGGACCTAACTCATCAAATGCATGTAGATAAACTCGGAGATTCGCGTTTTTAGATGCTTTTAAGGCTTTGATTTCGTCTCCCCGCGCAGCCGTTTCCACAACAACTGCTGCAGTCCTGTTCAGTTACCCAGGAAAAATGGCTTCGGTCGCAGCCGCAGCAGCGAGCCTCGACCCGGGCTCCATACCGCTCGCAGACGCTTTGGTCCCCGCCAGCATCTTCGCTCCGGACCGGGGAGGATGCGCGGAGGACATGGGGGACGAGAGCTTCGAGGACGAGGACGTGTTGAACGGAGAGTCCCTGGATCGCGTTGACTTCACCAGCAAGGCAAGAAAACCAGCGAATAAACTAGGCCCCTGTTAGCATCCCCGGCTACAAATGAATGAATGGGATAAACGCATAATAACACGTTTATTATAATAATTTGAGAGCCTGCGCGCAAATGCAATGGACACGGGTTTCAGAATGTCAGAATAAAAATTTTGCAAACATAACATCACAAATAGACCTAAAACATGAATAAATAAACGAAATTGGCAGTTTAGCTTCGCCTAGCCTAGCGCCGCCTGCTGCTAACACTGTAACAAAATGATAATAACAACACGTAAACAAGATGCCCGCGTGATTTAGTGTGTTTTGAAATATGTGCAATTCAGAAATGTTGAGGAATACAATTTAGAGAGTAATTAGATCGCAAAATATAAAAAATATATATAACAAAACGTGCGCGGAAAACATTGTATGCAACAGATAAGGCAGGCTAGTGCAGACATGCTAGCCTTATTTGTAATAGATAACACGATCTGTGGCATCATACGGTAATACTGCAGTGTGTGGGTGGTACAAAGGGCATATAGATTGCTATACTCATTTATTTCAGGGACTTGCAACAGTTTTTCAGGACTTAAAGATTTGTTTTTATGTATGTGCATGTGCAGCTTGTGGCATGTTTACTCAGTATGAAATAGAAAAAAATATTAGGCTACCCATTGATTTATTCTCTATTGGAAATTCTAAGAGTGTTTTATTGACTAAAAATACATAAAATAAAACTATATGTGTTGTCATTTATTCTCTAGAATCAAATTATATTGACCGTAAAATGAAACACACAGTGGTAGAATAGAATACATAATATATACTTATTAATCTGCTGTAAATTTAGATTGTTTTTCCTTTAAATAAACCTTTTCTGCATCTTATTTCTAAAAAAAATTATTAATATTTTTTACATTTTAAACTCTTTATTATCTTGATAATTGTAAATGTCTTAGATGCGATTCAAATAAAGAAAAAAGTACAATTTACCACAAAAATCTACATATAGTTATAGCTATTTATTTTAACGGAGGGAAACAGGGCAGATTTTTTACATTCAAATAGCTCTTATTCAGAAACTAGAGGGACTATTGAAATAAGTAAGGTATCAGAATGTAGGAAAGAGTTAACACTCCAACAGGGTAAAGTTAACCCTGCAATATTATTTCAAGTTGTTGACAAAAAATTTTAAACTCATGTCGGTAACAGAGGGAATGAAATATGCAGCATTTTTTGAGCAATAAATACAAACAGCGATAACTACATGTTCTCACAAACTGGTTTGAATATTTGCTTCATATAGTTGTCTACCATATGGTACAAGATTAGGTTGAAAACCCTCTTACTTTTTGAGTAATGAGATTTTTTATTAAGAAAGGTCATGGTAACAGAGGGAAAATTGTGCAAGCAAGTAGAAGGTGCATGATTTTGCATCATTTGTCAGCTTTTTTCTTCTGAATACTTTAATATTACTTCAAAATGAAAGGAAACAATTTCTATAAAATGTCAGTCCTTCCAAGCTAATTTTTATCATTTTAAATATATATTTTTTTGAAAAATCATGTACTTTCCTCAACAGTTCAAAGATCAAATAACACAAGATATGATGAAATACATCCATTTATTTACATGATTTGCAGGTCTTTGAAATTTGGGAAATAATTTTTGTTCCATGTTTCATACATGGTCTGTTTAAAACGTATGTAACTTTAGAACCAAAAATGGTACAGAAAAAAGGTAAACAGTTTCATAAACTAGAGTACATATGCTATCTGTTGAATACATTTTTATATCAGGTGCATTAACTTGAATTTTTGACCTTGCTGTATACTTCTGCTTGACCGGGCCCAGATGAATAAAATACAACATTATTACTAGACGAGACTAGACCACATATATGTTTATCGTGGCAATTTAAAACAATTGACATAGTATTGATTTGATAGTATTGTCATCGAGGGCATAGCTAATATATATATTTTGTAGTTTTATTCAAGCTTTAACGTGGAGATGTCATATGTTAAGAGCTGTGTTTGTGAGTGAAGCTATAAAGAAGTTGATGAATAAGTGGAATTCTTTGTTTTGTTTTTTCTGCCCCCCTCACTCCCTGTCCTCACAGCTGGCCCTGGTGAGTCCAAATGGAGAGCAGTACGACTCACTACTGCGGCAGTTGCGCGACCGCATGGAAGAGGGCAGCGGTGAGACCATCTACGTGGTGGGGATGGGCTCAGGTATGAAAACAAAACATAACAAAAACAAGTAAATACACTACATGCTGAAAAAATATACACAGAGCTTGTCTCCTCCTCAACGTTTCATCTCTCTATTAAATCGAAATTGCAATATGAAATGATGCAATTTGCAAAAGGAAAAGGCTGCAATTTTCAAGCACCACAATTTCCTGCGCAAGCAACAAAAAAAAAAAGTCTTATTTTCCACAAAAAACTGCTAACCCTGTAGTTTCAATTTGTGCAAATGTGCTTTGAACTGTGATATTAGTTTGTCAGTTCAATTTTTCAGTCTTTTTGTCAGTTCTTCTGGATGCCTTTAAAATGTGAAATTGGATCAAAATCCTGTTTTTGAAAGATGAAGTGCAAATCTAATCGGCATCGTCAGAAAAATCACAATTACATATTTTATCCAAATCGTTCAACCCTACTTTTGATGCACTTAGTTGTTTTTCATTTGAGCATCTCACCATGAAACTCTTAGTAGTTCTCAGAATGTATTGTTATTCCCCACAGTTGTCAGGAAATGGCAGCAGACCCCTAATACAAGCATTCTAATGGAAAGTGCATTTGTGGTCAAAGTGAAATGCTTGGACTCCTACCATCTTACCTTTTTTCAAACACGTGTCAAAGTCAGTACGCAGCAATATGCTCCGTTCTCTGAGATAACTGTACAGATGGTGCTTCCCAGGGTCAGAAATGAGCTGGTTAACTGTTCTGCCGCTGCTTACACGACAAAAAGTCTTGAATGGGTCGTAACTCAATTTAGAATGAACAAAATTAAATAAATTCTTGACCTGGTCACTATTGGGAAAGTAATATAATTAATGCAGGACATCAAAATTTAGGCTGAGGGGTCAGTTGAAGCCCTCAAGACCAGTGTAGGATTTTGATACAAATTTATGTTTTTCTTCTAACTAGTAACAATAACTAAAATATCGTGATATTGTATTGTCAAAAGTCTCTCAGTAATATCGTGGGCCATCACAGTATATCGAATCAGAAGTTTCTTTGCTTGAATTCATTGTTATGGTGCAGCAATAGCAAAAACCCCCCAAAAACATAGGGAACTACATCGACCATGATCCTTTGCTCCGTTTTGGTGCAAACTACATGAAGAAACAGCAGTTCTAAGCACTTTTAAGTCTTAGGTTCTTAAATCTTAAATCTTTGGATTAAGTCTTGTCAACACATTTTAAGAGGAAAAAGTTTCACAATTTTGTTAGCCTCCACAAAATATCACAATAAATACCGTACCGTGAGATTTGGATATCGTTACATCCCTGCTTCTAACACTAAAAAGTTACGTTTTTATACCTCCAGGTCTGAACTCTTCGCCATGTCTTTTTTTCTGCTGACTTGGGACCTTTCCTTTAAAAAGACTCAAGCTGATCATTGGCCATTAGAAAATTTTGTTTAGCCAAATTACATCTCCTTACTTTTCTACATGCAGCACTCATATAATAAAAAGTTTGTCTATAAAATACCAATGCACTGGCTAAAATATGCTTTATAGTCACACAATGGTCACATTTTTATACAGCGCTTTTCCACCGTCAAGACACTGAAAGCTCTTTACAACAAGGAACGACTCAAGCATTCACGCACACTTTACCAACCGAGCTCCCATTATAGTATCCATGTCTTCTTTAATATGTCCCCCTTCTACCTGTTGTTCAGACGGAGGGGACTGGGGTCTGGATGAGTCGGACATGGAGGCGTCCGTAGCCACAGTGCGCTCCATGTGTGAGCAGATCGACGCGGACCTCATCCCACTCCGCGAGCGCTCGGAGGCCGCCGGGGCCGTACGCGACTACCTGATCCGCAGACGTGTGGGGGAGCTGGACTTCCTGGAGGTCAGGTAAGAGGTCGGATGTCTGGAGAAGATTAAAGTCGCAAAATAAGATCGACTTGAACTGTGCTGCAGGAGGTAAATTATTTTAGCTTGTTTTGTACCTTTTTGTTGTAGTTGGTTGCTTACTTTGTTAAATCTTTGCCCACTAACCAAAAATTAGCCTATTCAATCCTCTCATGAGCATAGTGCTGCTGTGTCCTTGGGCAAAACACTAACCATATTTCTTGCTGTTATCACTGTAAATCTTACCGTATCAACAGTAACCTTGAACAAAAGATAGCTGCGTGCAAAAAGCAAACAGATTAATTTATTTGATGTGTTCTGCATCCTTTAACAAGCTTCAAAGTGTAATTTTGATTTGAATTATTACTATTAAACTATTAAAGAAATATGAAAAACAGTCTGTCAAGTTATATAGATCTAATTGGTCTTTTATTAAAGGGACAGTCCGAAATTTTGGACATAGGACCTCATTTCCTAGTTAGCCAGAGTGTTGGAAACGTGTGGAGACACTTTTTTAAATATTCCATTCAATCTTTGTATTTGCAGAGGTCCCTGGTGCATGTCAATGGCCATAGTTATCCTGCCACTAAAAACAGTCTTACCCACTCCACAAAACACCAGAAGCAAATCTGTTATTACACCAGACTGTCCATGTAAATGTCTGTGCTGATTGAATAATTTTAGAAGTAAAACCAACCTTGCATTTGAAGGGTTTATGTCTGAGCAGCAGCAGCGAGTTGTACTTCCTGATAAAAAGCTCGGCAGCAGTGGACTGTTATCACCTAGCACCTATCTTACCGGCTAAGTAAAATTCTGCCGCTGCTGGGAAAATAGTCCCTCAACATGTGACGATTCATGCCATGCAAGGTTAGTTTTATTTCAAACATTATTTTATCAACACAGACATTTATATCGATAGTCTGGAGTAATAATAGATTTGCGTCAGGTGCTTTGTGGAGTGAGTAAGATTGCGCTAGTCTAGCACCAGCGACCTCTGCAAATACAAGGGCTGGATGGAATATTTAAAAACGTGTCTCTACATGTCTGCAACACTCTGGCTCACTAGGAAATGAGGTCCTATGTCTAAAATTTCAGACCGTCCCTTTAAATTTAGAGGCACTACACCTTATTAGTTTGTAGAAGTCCAACTCACTTCCTTAACACATTCCTTGCGTTCTAATTATTCACAGCAATTAGTTTATAAGCACTTTTCACAACGGTCAAAGACCAGATTGACAGTAGATGCACACAGCACTCGGCAGTCTCATTTATTCACAATATATCTGTTCTGGGACAAAACAAATTTTATGTAATTACTTGGCCGAAAATCAGTCATAGCACCTTTTAAGGTTGTTTTCAGAATTCAAGTCAATCTATAGATGTATTTCTTTTACAGTGTGTTTTCTTGTAATAATTCTCTTCCTCCGTTCCTCCTTTCCTCTCCAGAGTTGCAGTGGTGGGGAACGTGGACGCGGGGAAGAGCACCCTCCTGGGCGTTCTGACGCACGGAGAGCTGGACAACGGCAGAGGCTTCGCTCGCCAAAAGCTCTTCAGACACAAGCACGAGATGGAGAGCGGACGCACCAGCAGCGTGGGCAACGACATCCTCGGCTTCGACCAGGAGGGACAGGTGAGAGGAAACGCTTCTACTGCAATATAAGAGAGTTGAAAGAACACAAATGTGGCTGTTTGCTGCAGGTGTTCCAATCAGTGGGAGCAAGTAGAGGGTGCTCTTGGAAAACGGATCAAAACTAAAACACAATGGACTCCAGGCACTCCAAAGAAGTAGAAAAAGTAAAAAATCGCACAAGGAAAAATGTAGTTATAAGGCCTTTATTTGAATGGCCAAATCCAACATGGTTCGACCTTAACGAATCTTCATCAGGGCTTAGTTGAGTTGAGCATAAGAGATTTATCTAATAAGATTTGATATGAAATGGAGCAAAGGATCATGGCCTATGTAGTTCCCTCCGTCTTTTTTTTTTAGCTATTTCTGCACCATAACTCTTCATTTAAGCAAAGAGACTTGTAATTCGATATATTGTGACGGTCAACGATATTGTGAGAACTTTGACGATACGATATCACAATATTTCAGTTATTGTTACATCCCTAGTAACTGTATTCCAGTACAATTGTAAACAACGTTCTTGTGGTGAGTGCAAGTGTGATTTTAACGTCAAACATAAACCTGTTTTTAATCCTATGCATCTTTACACTTTAGTTTAATTTAAATGCAGCTCGACTCACTCCGTAAACACATTTTCTCTAACAAGTATGTGCACATAACGTATACATTTGATCATTTCCAGGTGGTGAACAAGCCTGACAGTCACGGAGGCAGCCTGGACTGGACGAAGATCTGCGAGAAGTCCTCCAAAGTCATCACGTTCATCGATCTGGCCGGTCACGAGAAGTACCTCAAGACCACTGTGTTTGGCATGACCGGTCACCTGCCCGACTTCTGCATGCTCATGGTCAGTGCATCAGGAAGGTTTCCATGTTTTTCACATTATTTCTTTGTTTTGTGAGTCGCAGTTTGTGAAAAAAAAAAATTAAAAAATTAAAGGAATTCTCATGTTTGTGTTGTTGTGCAGGTGGGAAGTAACGCTGGTATAGTAGGAATGACCAAAGAGCACCTGGGGCTGGCACTAGCTCTCAACGTGCCTGTGTTTGTGGTAGTCACCAAGATAGACATGTGTCCCTCGAATATTCTGCAAGGTACAACACATTTACTCTACTGTACTAACATGTGTTTATTTGGACTGTTCTGACTGCTCCTGTTGTCTTCTGACAGAAACGCTAAAGCTGCTCCAGAGGCTACTCAAGTCTCCAGGCTGTAGGAAGATCCCTGTGCTAGTCCAAAACAAAGATGATGTTATAGTGACCGCGTCCAATTTCAGTTCTGAAAGGTGCGGTCTGTTTATTTATTTACCGTTAACATAACATCTGTGGCAATGGCATTCAGTAGAGTTATGATTCGCTGGGGGTCAGTACGATATTTATGATTTTAAAAGGGGATGCAGCGCTCAGGACTATTTATTCATTTAGTTTTTTAATTGTTATTGAAGGTGTTAAATAAATAAACTGACACAAGCTATGGGAAAATGTATAACGTTGTTATATAGAAAAACAGCTATTCAAATGTATATTAATATTCAGTATACATACAATATACAGGCAGATCTGAGAGTGGTTCTGTCTGAGCTCTTACAGGATTTAACCATTGTAACAAGTTTACTTTATGTCTCTGCAGGATGTGTCCAATCTTCCAAATTTCCAATGTGACCGGTGAAAACATGGACCTTCTCAAGATGTTCCTGAACCTGCTGTCCTCCAGAACGTCGTACCGCGATGACCAGCCGGCAGAGTTCCAGATAGACGACACCTACTCTGTACCGGTACAGGAACAATCCAGTCTTCTGTAGAAAGAACAAGTGTTCATTAGCTCTATGGGCTTAGGGCGAAAACTGTTCTGACAGCAGCAGGTCTGTGCTGCCTGAGGGGAGCTAACAGAAGGTACTTTTTGTAGAATGTAGATGTTATGTTAATGAATTACACCAGCAAACATCCTGTCTACTCACTTTCAGATGTGCACTGATAGAAAAGAGTTTCTTTGGACAAACCATATTTTGTGAAGGATCTAAGAACGTGTTATTAGGTTCTTTTTTCAGACCTAGAGTTTTGTTTCATACCTGACAGTTTCGACTGCTCACCAGCAGTCTTCATCAGAGTCTGGTCAGCTGATTTAAACAGGTTTTGGCGCTGTCTTCCTACCGGTGGGGGCAGGACAACAGCGCCATCTGCAGTCCGACTTCTTCATTGATCACTCTGAGGAAGACGCTAGTGAGCAGTCGAAACTGTCGGGTCTGAAACAAAACTCTAGGTCTTAAAAAAGAACCTAATAACATCGGAAGACCAAAATGAATCTCATTGGACGATCTAAAAACGTGCCTCCTGTAGTCTACAGTGACGAGGATTGCGTTACTTTCATATGACCATAAACCAAATGCATTTCTGTGTTTTTTTTTCTAGGGAGTGGGCACAGTAGTGTCTGGAACTACTTTGCGTGGATTGATACGTCTGAACGACACCATGCTCCTGGGCCCAGACCCTCTGGGCAGCTTCATTCCCATCGCTGTCAAATCCATCCACAGAAAAAGAATGCCCGTGAAGGAGGTCAGAGGAGGACAGACCGCTTCCTTCGCTCTTAAAAAGGTATGTGCACTTACAAGCAGTCTTTCTTACAATACAACTGTGTTTTTTTTTTATCTGGGGTAGAGGGGCACATACATAAACATATTGTAAGAGTTTCTTTATTCATCAAGTATGTTTATATATATGTTTAAATCCAGTCGAAAAGATTTAAATGCATAAAATATATTATAATATAGAATAAACCGTTTCACACCTTCAAGTTCAGTGGGTTTAACTAGCACATAATCCTTACTCTAAACAACTAGGGTGTGTTAGTTTGAATATAGTAAGCTCCCTTCAGACAGATATAAGTCAGTGACTTCTAGAACCATGTCAGAATTGGAGAAGCGACTTGGATGAGTTTTGTATTCACTCTAAAACCTTTGTCCAGTTGACAGAATAAAATTTTCTTTTGCTATGGATCCTACCTGGATGATTGAGGGAAATTTCCTATACTGTTTTTTAATTAGAATGATTTAGTAATACAATATTTATTATATTTTGAATTTAAGGTAAAAAAAAAAAAGGTTAAAGTAATGGTCACTGGAGTTAATATGCGTGTATTTTTTCTATGTGTATTTATTGTACTTTATTCATATTCCATTTTTATGACTACAGTGCATGGACAGAAATAATGCATGTTTTAAGTCTTCTCTTGTATTGTCAGATCAAGCGTTCATCGATCCGTAAGGGCATGGTGATGGTGTCTCCAAAGCTCAACCCACAGGCCACATGGGAGTTTGAGGCAGAGATCCTGGTGCTGCATCACCCCACAACGATATCCCCCCGATACCAGGCCATGGGTACGTAACAACAAGCTCACTGCACTTCAAAGAGGTTTGTTTATTTGCTGGGTAAGAAAAGCTTTTTCAGGAATTTGATGTGAATTTAAACATTTTCATCTAGATTTTAGTTAGTAAGATAAAAAAAATAATAATAATAAGAATAATAATAATAGGGGCTATTGTGAAAAATCAAACCTTTTGGAGCGTTCTATCATGTTATAATATTTTCCCTCATCAAGAACACGCCTGAAGACATTTTAGACGCCATCCATGCATGTTTGAGTGATTTAGTGATCTCTCTCAGGCCCTATTCAAAACCTCATTATGGTTAGCTGTAAGATTCTGCCCATAAATAAACAAAACTTGATACAAAACTGTACACAATAACTTGACAAACCTGATACGATGTGCAGTAGTTTCATTAGCGGGATGCACACTGATTGTGTTGTGGTAGCGCTCTGATGGGGGAGCTGACAGCTAGGGTTGCACGATACGATACTGGTATCACGTATCGGCCCGATACTTCCTTAATATACTCGTACTTGTAAGTGTTAAACATTTGTCGATACCACGCGCTGATACCACTATTACGTAACACATTACGCAGTATCTCGGTTTCACTATCCCGAATAAGCCAGTATCCCTGTTATGATGGATAAATGGATAAATAATGTGACTGTACATGAGTGAAATGACTCCACACACACAATCTGCACTCATATGACCTGCACACACATATTCCACTGAGTCGTGTCCTTTAGTCTGACAGGAGCTGACAGCATCACCGCAAAAGGAGCAAGTTTTTTTTTAAGCTCCATTAAACACATTCTAATACCATGGTTGTTTGTATTTTTCCTGGTTTATTATAATTTTTGCACTTGCTCATTTGTAAGATCACGTCAAGAAACCGGGGTACGACAGGGACATGAGTATCCCGGTTTCTCAGTTCGCGTATAAACAGCATATCCCGAGTACTGCCATAACCGGGATATGACTAATAACCGGGATACTTAGGTGCATGTAAACGCACTCATTGTATGTTCATGGAGATGGGAGTATTAGTATGATTATAGAAATGATTATACACGTACTCGTATTGGTTTTCAAAAAAGTGGTATCGGTGCATCGTTACTAACGGCGCAAAAAAAAAACCCAAAACATATAAAACACGTTAATATGTTGTTTTTGACTAATATAGCATTTTTAAAACGATAAAAGATAACATGGTGATCTAAATAAGTTTTGTGTTGCAATAATAATTAACAATTCCAAACAATATCCTATCTTTTGAATTTGTAAGTCCACAAAATTGTGTAACAGAAAATGTTTGAGTGCTGTCAAAACATAGCTAATAATAATAACTTGTGTTGTTGTCTCCAGTGCACTGCGGCAGCATCCGGCAGACGGCCACCATCTTGTCCATGAACCGCGACTGTCTGAGGACCGGAGACAAGGCCACGGTCCACTTCAGGTTCATCAAGACCCCAGAGTACCTGCACTGTGAGCAGAGACTCGTGTTCAGAGAGGGACGGACCAAGGCTGTGGGCACCATCACCAAGGTAACCACACGCAAGCATCTGCAAAAAGCACCAGACTCTTATTTCTGTATGTTTTTTTTAAGTATCTATTTAAAGCATAAAAAACACTTTTAAACACTTTGAAATACAAGATTATAGGTCCAAAACATTAATAACAAGACACTGATTCAAATGACAAGACAAAAGACATAGCGGGACAGTTTGGAGACAAGACAAAAAACAAGTAAATAAATAAAATAATAATAAATATAAAATTAAAATTAAAATAAGCCATGAGTGAGTGTTTACGTGTAGTGTGGGTGGGTGTGAATAACTAAAGCATGTTTTTTTTTATTAAGTTTTTTTTGTAGTTTTATTCTGTCATTTTGCAGCACTACAAACAAAACAAAACAAAACATAGTCTACAACTCCGTAGATCATGACCGAAATGGTTTAGACTGAAGTAAAAAGTACTTATAATGTCTAACCCTTTTAAACAATGACAGAATTTTAAGAAAGAAAGGCAGCGTATGAACAGCAAGTTTGTGTTTACAATTTCACTTACGACTCACTGACGCTTCACTTCTTTTCACTTAAGACACAAAATATAAATTAAAACATACTAAATTTTCTGCATATTTCATTCATTCCAGAGCTCTATATCTTTCAAAACATAACGTTTAACGCTGTTGAAGTTGAAGGGAAGACAGAACAAAAGTAAAAGGGTTGAACTCAAGAAAGAAAATGAACAAGATGATCCAGAGAGTAAAAAAATAATACAAAAATACTTACAATAATTTAAAAAAGCAGACCTGGTAAAGTGCTGTGTTCCTTGTGCATTGTGTAACTTTTCTGGTGGAGGGTCCTGTTGCCTCCTCATCTCCACAGACCTTTTTGTTGCTTTGTTGCTTTGTCCAGAATGCTTCACAGTAAAGTATCAAAACTATCTACCTCTGCGGAGACAAAAAAGCGACACCACCAAGCCAAGTTACGCGTCAGATCTGTGGAGAGGCGACCCTGCTTGTGTTTTTTTTAAAGGTCCCCTGTTACCCGAAATTGACTCTTGTGAGCTTTAAGCCATGTTTGAATGTTGTTACCTCCTCAAAAACAGACCCGGAGTTGTGTTTTGTTTCATTCACACATGTTTGAATAACACTTTATTATTAGTCTGTTTACATCTCCAAAGCTCAAAATGCTCTGTTCCACCTTGTGATGTCATGAAGCTGTAGTTTTCAAGTTAACATCTACTTTTTACCTTTAGTTCGGTAGAGATTGGCAATTCCGGGGCTGAAATCAACCAAATGATTCTAATGGAGTTTAAAAACACAGTGGTGCACTTCCTGTATTACCTCATGACATCACGAGGTGGAACAGAGCATTGTAAGTTTGAGAGAAAACCCCAACTTAAATACACTTTTTTTTTTTGTTAAAACATGAGACTGAAACAAAACTCTGGGTATATTTTAGATGAGGAAACAACATTATAGCCTAAATCAGAAAACCTTAAAGCAATAAAAACACCTGGAACTGAATAAATGTAAGATAGATAAGTTTAATGCTACTGTGGAACATTCCACGCAAAGCAATAACCTTTCTATGTAAAAAAAAAAAAAAAAACAGATGGCAGACCACCACTCTCCACCAGAAAACTCACCTTTAATCTTTTTTTTTTTTCTTCTACAGCTTTTGCAATCCACCAACAATTTGCCGTCGAATTCCAAACCCCCGCAGATCAAAATGCAGTCGACGAAAAAGGCCCATATACGAAAAGACGAGAGCAGCACAGGGGGAGGAGAGGAGGCGGCCACGATAGCAACGAGCGCAGGCCCCAGCACAATACAACCGGTGAGAGAAACACTGTTTTTCACTTTATACGTCACGGTTTTCTCCTTTAACATTACGGAGGATTATACATGTAACCTTTCACTTTTTTAATTCAGTCATGAGAGTTGTAGAAGGAAACGAACAAAATCTGTATAACATGGAGTCTATTCTCAAAAAAAAAGGAATTAAATATATAGGCAAGTGTTTTTATTTTATTATTGTATATAATATTATTGTTTTTTATTTATTTATTTATTTTTGATAGGTTGCCATATATTTTAGTAAGTTCATAGCTGAAATAATTAAAATATTTATTAAAACAATATTTTAAATATTATAACAATATATACTTTTTAAAATTCAGGCATGTATTTATTTTTTTTTAGATTTTGTATTTTTTATACTTGATTTTATTTTATTTTTTTTTTTACCAAAGAGGGAATAATAATAAAACTATATAATAAAAAATGTATTATATAGGTATATTTTTCATTATATAGTTTTATTATTATTCTCTCTTAAAAAAAAAAAATAATAATATAAAATCTAAAAAAAATAAATACATGCATGATTTTTTTTTTAAAGTATATATATTGTTATAATATTCAAAATATTGTTTAATAAATATTTAAAAGAATATAATAAAAAAATACTTAATATAATAAAAAATATAACATCTACTTACTTATTTTTTTTAACAAAGAGGGAAATTACTTATAATAAAAAATAATAAAAATATATATGCAATTAAAAAAAGTGTACTTAACATAATAAAAAAAAATTACATCTTGCGCTAAAATACTATTAATGTGGTTTTGGTAGTAATCAAAGTTTTGTGATAGAAATAGTATAGTCAAATTTTTTATTTTTATTTTTTACAAGATCAGTACTAATGTTTCTTCTTACAATAATCATAAAACTAAAATCTGTCATTGTGTTTTCCCTTGTCTATAAATCTAATGTATTAAAAACACATATGTTATAACTAACTTCTTTACCCTTTCTCTTTCTCTGCTCCATTTTGGTTTTATTCACCCTTTTGTTTACATGACTGGTCAAATTTCTTCCCATCCCATTTTTATATATTTTTTTATATGTTATATTTTTCTGCGGCGCTCTCTCCCTCGCCCCTGCCGGTCGCACAGGGAGAGGGAGACGAGGACCCTCAGATAAAGGAGGGCAACAAAGAGAACAAGGTAACAACAGTGAAAACGGCCGACAAACTACATCAGACTTCTTATTTTAACTTATTTTAACTATTTGGTGAATGTGTTACATGTTTGTGGTGATTGTTCTAGTGCCTCACAGCAAAGGTTCTGTATGTGTGGTGTTTGCATGTTCTCCCTGTGTCTGCGTACAGTAGGATGTTAGAACTCGATTCCACAGACCAAGATCCTGGCTCAGGTTTAGGCTACGTTTATATGATGACGGTCTGAACAGAAGACGCAAAAGTGGCATCGCGTGTGCATACGGTGACGCAAAAGTGTGTGGAATTCGATTGGGTATGTATGCCAGGCGACTATTGATGTATGTGACGTAAACGCGTACGTGACGTGAGCAGATCTGACCGGAGTTTTGTGTCTTGGGCAGTGTAGACGGCAATGCGTATTCAACTTTTCCACTCTGGACTGTGGATTTTTGCGTTTTTAAGCTTCAAAAATGTCGTCACCGTCTAAACGAAAGGCACTTCTGATAAAATATTTTGCTGTTTTTACCCGCAAGTGTTCTCGTGTAAACAGGCCCTCAGAGTCGGGTTCTCAGGTGCATTGTGGTTTTGCTCCCAACTGGTTGGTCCGAATTTCTCTATGGTGACAAAAATAATAATAGTAACCATATTCTTTCTCAAACTGTGTTTAAAAAAAAAAAAAAGCATAAAGTGTCAAGCTGCCATTTCGCCCCATTTGTTTAATTAACTACATGGTTGGATGAGAACTACTGTATTTTCCGCAATATAGGACGTGCTCATAAGCCTCCAACCCCATCAAAAAACGACTGCGTGCCCCACAATCCTGAGCGCCCTATACACGAATCCACTCGGGTGTCCCACTACAAAGCCCCACCACCCGCAGTGCATGCAAACACGCACGGAGCAGACAGCGACAGCAAAAAACACCCACAGACACACTCATCACTCCACGCGCACGAGGAACGGAACAGAGGAACGAACCGAAAAAAGCGAGTGCAATGTGCCACTTCTAGCCACAACTGAACAACTGAGTCACTGCGAACACGCCGACAATCCAGCGGTCCCAGACAGCACCCTCCCTACACGCCACAACTGAACAAAGCCCAGAGTCACCGTGAACGCGCCAAACAAAGCCCCACTGACCCATCCAACTGTTGTGTTTAGTTTAAAGTCCGGTGCGGTTTATTTGTGAAAAAAGTTTGAAAATATACTATTTAATGACAGTGCGCTTTACAATCCAGAGCGCCTAATAGTGCAGAAAATACGGTAGTTGACAAGGTTATCAATTGCAGAACAAGAGGTTTTATGACTCAGAGAGATCACAAGTAACAAACAAAGTCACAGGAAATGTGTGAATGTCGTGTTTTTAATGAAAACAATTGATTACCACAATAATCTAGGACTATGTAGAAACAACAGGCTGTGACTGTCCCAGACTCTGTCACGGTGCAATATTAGAGTGAGAAAAGGGACTAATTGTTCAAAGTGAGTGTTGCAGATGTGTGTATCATTCGTTCATTCGTTTTTCAATATAAAACCAAAAATAAGAAAACGAAAAAATAACTGTTTTCTTCATTATTTGTCTCCAAAACCAACATGAAAAAATGGATAATGATTAGTTTTTTCAGTTTTAGAATAATGGAAAAAACGGATAACGGTCGTTTCCCATTTCTGTGACTAAAACTGCGATGCCAGACTTTTGCACCGCATATGGACTGAACCAGGACTAAAACAGGACTAAACCAGGACTAAACCATTTTCAGTCCCGGTCTCAGTCCCGACATGGTCCTGGCATGGGCCTGGTCCGGTCCTGGTCCTGTTCCTGGTCTCAGTCCTGGTCTCAATTCTGGTCTGGTCCCGGTCTATGTCCTGGTCACAGTCCCGGTCTGGTTCCGGTCTGTCTGGATCTGGTTTAGTCCTGGTTCAGATCCATTTTGAACTGTTCAATGAATTATCATGATATATCACTGAATAATTTTTTTCTTACACCCCTAGTTTCTCTACATTCTGTGAAAATTTTAGGTTATTTCAACAAGAATTGCCAAAATTATAGTCCTGCGAAATGAAATAACATTTTTGAGACACTCTGTATATTGAATTCCAAGGATCATTTATTATTTTTTATTTATTTATTATTCAGTTTTGTCTCACATGTAGTTTAGTTGTGGTGTTTTTGTGAACTACTGATAATATTAATACAAATTCTCACTTATTTATTTATATTCACACGTGCGTTTGTTTATTTCTCCGCAGCCAAAATCTGGAGGAGGAGGAGGCAGGAGACGAGGAGGGCAGAGGCATAAAGGAAAGTCCCAGAACAGCAGCACCAACGCCACGGCAACGCAGTCCAGCACAGGGGGCGGGGCCTGCTAGAGCTTCGTGACACTACCTGACCCCCTCCGCCGTCTCCACTCCACTCAAGTGTCTTCATCACTTTCAAACTACCGAGGAAAAACATCCGGCACAAATAAACACTGGATCACGATGTCGTTTGAGTTGACGTGAAGGCTGGCTACATGCGCACGGGACAAAAAACTCAATCTGAACTTCTTTTTTTTTCGTATTTATTTCGTCTAGAATCGGCTCGGATTTGAAGCACAACCAAGAATTTATAGTTGAAACCTTAAATTTACTCAAAAAAAATAAAAAATAGAAATGGGGCCCAGGACAATTTAGAAATATTCAAAACTTAACAAATAAAAAAAAAATAATTAAAACTACTTTTAAGCAAGTTATACTTAACTGTGACATGACATAGGGGGTTTTACATGTATGTCTATGGCGAAACGTTCAGCCTCAAAGTATAATTTCATTGCAGGCGAAGTATTTTTTAATTTATTGAAAAAGAAAAACAGTCCCGTGCGTTTTACGACTATATGAAGGGACATTTTTAATTTACATTTTATAGCGTTGATTCAAATTGTCGCTTAAATTTAACTGCGATTAACAATTTTTCTTTTTTTTTTGACATTCACATTAAATTTGCAACACATAAAATTATACTGAATATTTTTTTTTGTCAGTCATATTCAGACAATTATAAAGAAAAATAATTTGTTAAAATATTAAATTATTCCCATAAACATGTAGCCAGTCTTTTTAAAGGGAACAAATCTGGTTCATTTTTCGAAATTTGAATTTTTACAAATACGTAAAGCTGCATTATGTAACTTTTTGGTTGGGGGTCCATCGCTACTACGGTGCCTGGAATGTTCCACAGTGTGGCATTAACCAGCTCGACTTAACATTTATTCAATTCCACGTGGTTTTATAGCTCGAAAATACAGAGAAAAACAGCGTTCTGACTGTGAGCGGCGTCGCCTTTCCACAGATCTGAGCTGTAACTTGGTCTAGTTTGGTTTCCATGATGGTGTAAGGGTTTAATAATGAACTAGAAAAGCAAAAAAGTTACACAATGCACCTTTAAACAGACCACCAAAGTCCACGTTTTTACATTCTATCCGAGGTATTCATGCACATTTTCTTTTCTTTTTTTTTAGGATTAATTGTTGCTGTTTCTAAAGATTTTGAGGTTTTGCTAATGGTCAAACTTGAAAACCAGAATTACGGAAGTGTGTAGTATTTTATTTATTTGTAGAAAACAGAAGAATTGATTTGTGGGAAAATAAAAAAATATACTTTAAACGGCAACCAGGGCAGCTAAAACTCACCCTCCGATCATTCCCGGTGTGAAGATTCTATTTATAATATCACATTATGTCAGATGCTTGTGCCCGAATTGGAAAGAAAAAAACACAAAAAACTATTGTATAAAATGTATGCAAACTGCTCATGAATGTAGCAACACAATTTTCTGTTTTTAAGTTCTAGATATACCGGTAATATAAGCTGTAATGTTTTGCAATTTTGCCAGTTTTTTATTATAAATTTTTATTTTGGGTTGAAACATTTAAAGGCGCTGTACCTGATTTTTTCTTCTTTTTTTTTTTTCTATGCATTTGAGCAAAAAGTGTCTTGCCATAATACAGATACAAGGTTTAAGGAGCTCTGTCTGCGTCTGTTTAGAAAGCGTTTTATTGTACCGAGAATCAGAACATGTGCTGTTAAAATGCTAGTTGTTGTTGGCCCATAGACTTCCGCTCCGGAGTATGAGTCGCACCAGCCAAAAAATGCGTAATGAAGAAGAAAAAACATATACAAGTACTATAAGTCGCACTTTTTGGGGGAAATTTATTTTATAAAATCAGAGACCAGGAACTGACATTTCGTCTTGAAAGGCAAGTTCTAGTAAAAACAATAGAACAGAGAACAACAGACTGAATGGGCGTTAACATGTTAAAGTAACATATGAACAGTTCTTCAGATAACTATAGCATAAACAACAGAACATAAGTTTACCAAACTCTCGATCTTACTCCAAATCACTAAATCCATTGAATTCTTCGTCCGTGGTGTCACTTCTGAGCAACTCCGCGTAACTTCGGTTGTCACGGGAGTCCAGGCTTTGTCGATACAGTGACTTCCGGGAAAGTTCCACGGTGCACCCGCCTGGTTGCTGTGAAGCTGTGTTCTCCGTTCCCGCTTTCTGTCAGTCCCTCACAAGTTTCTCGCTCGCTCCAAACTTTCTTTCTGCTGATCGATTACTGTTTTCTGCTGCATATTTCACTATTTGCAGCAGGACAGAGGCTTTTTCTGCCAGAGACTTGCTCAGAAAACTGACACACAAGCCTTTCAGCTGTCACACTGGAGTATAAGTCGCAGGAAACACCCAAACCATGAAAAAAGGGTGACTTATAGCCCGAAAAATATGGTATATATAAAAAGACATAGCTAGCTTTCAAATATGAAGTGAGTGTATAGGGGGCATTCACGTCAACACCTTTGCTTCTGATTGGCTCTTTTGTTCCTATGATGCTCACGCTCAGATTTCCAAATATGGAACTCGATGCAAAATTAACCATTACAACTGCCAGCCTCTATGAGCTTCATTTGACTGGAACCAAACACTGTGGGTGACATTATGCTCACTTAGGCTATGTTCAGACTGCAGGGCTTAATGCTCAATTCAGATTTTTTTGTGAAGTACAATTTTTTTGCGAGGTCGTTCACATTTCCAGTTAAATGCGACTTGTATGTGATCTCCAGTGTGAACTTTAAACTCCCCAAAAGTGTCCCGCATGTGCACTGGAGGACAGCGAAGTGAGTGTGCTCAGTGTTTACAGAAGTCGCCTAAACTCTGGGCTTGTCGCTCGAAATACGGTCCAGTTCTTGGTAAAAATGGACAAGTTACACGTCCACGGCTGCTTTGTTTGTTTGAGTCTTTATCCTCCTTGTATTTGGCTCGCAGGCTCTTTATTTTTCGTTGACATTTGAGCCAGGACCGCCTGTAGCCGCGCTCGGACATTTCTTTGACAATCATTTCAAAAATCGCCCGGTTCCGATAAGACCCCTCCAATTTGTCCTGAAAACAGCGATCCCCCTAAATATTTAATAACTCGTTAACCTCGCTTTCCGAGACTTGTAGGTGGGATGAATGCGACCTGGCCGTTCAGACTGAAGTCGCATGTCAAAAGATCGGATATGTATCGGTTTTAGGAGCACATATCCAAGTGGCCTGGGTCGCATTTGAAAAAAATCTGATCTGTCGTTAAAAGATCAGATACAGGAGCATAGGGGCGAAAAAAATCGGATTTGGGTCACTTCAGAACATAGCCTTAGTTCATTTCTTTACAGTCTATACTATGAAAGTTGTGAAAATTGCTTCTAAACTTGTGAATAATTAGGATGCGCTGAATACATAAGGTAACTGAGGAATAACTTTGTACCTCTGCAAACTGTTTTTCAAATGATCTAGTTCTGTTTTTCACGTTCTTAAAATAACACCGTAAAAATCAGGTACAGCGCCTTAAACGGTGGGTTTCTGAATTGTTCCACATACATTTAAGCTTTTAGCCTCGTGCAGTTTGCATCGTTCACAAATGAGGTCATCTGTTCATGTGTAGTTCAAATAGAGAATAGCACACACGTATTCTCCTCTGGCAGTTCCTGTTGTTTCTACCCTTATTACTGCATTAAAGCTGCTTGTGAAATATTGTGACAAAACTCAATATACCGCTAATATGACCCGGAATAAACTGGCTTCAATTGGATTTGTGTTTGTGGATTTGTTTTTTATTATCAGAAGTGTATTTAGGTTCATCATTTGCTCAACTTTAACATTTTGAACAAAAAAGAAACTTGGTTAAAAGATTTTTTATTGAACGATAAAACATAAAAAAAACACTTATTTACTGTGAGGGGGCTTGCATCTCCACAAACCTGACTCTTATTTGGTCTGGGGAGGGCCTCATCTTTCTTGTTTCCATAAAAATATTCCTTTGACTATAATTTTCCATGACATAAAATGTAATAATAAAGTATAAATAATAATAAAAACGTATATATCTCCATGAAGAATGTTCCCAAGTATAGTTTTAACTTTTTATATTTCCATGGAATCGTGCAGGAAAGTTACTGGAATTAAGTCACAGTTACTTATATTTCTTATTTATTAATTTGTAAAGGGACAGCACATATTAATGAATGTTAAAAATGTAAATATGTGAAGATTATAGCCAGTGTGGCTAATTTCCATCAAATCATCTACAGGACAAAGAAAAGTACAACAACAATCACACAAAAGTACATAACACCAGCACACTCACTATATACACACACAACATACTCACTGTACACACAACATACTCACTGTACACACAACACACTCACTGTACACACAACACACTCACTGTACACACAACACACTCACTGTACACACAACACACTCACTGTACACACAACACACTCACTGTACACACAACACACTCACTGTACACACAAATTCATTTCAGACTGTTTATTAGAAGTTCATTTGGGTCAAGAGTTAAAGAGTTAAACCAACAACCCCTCAAAATAATAATAATAATAATTTGGTTAAAACATTGTGACATATTTGATCACTGAACATCGCTGTTTTAAAGCTTTAGAAAAATGCTGCCAGTGTTGAAACTTCTCGTATATGAGCTGCACTGTGTTCCATGTTTGACCTGCACAGGAACAACAAAAGCAAAAACAACAGAACAGAACAAGTTTACCAAACTCTCCATCTCACTCCAAATCACTAAATCCATTCAATTCTTCATCCTCGGTGTCACTTCTGAGCAACTCCGTGACTCCAGAGGTAAACAGAGCGCCGCTTCCTCTTCTGTGTAGCTGTCGGCATCAGTTCCAGTTAGAATTATTCCGGCTTTTCTGAATCCCGACAGGATGGTTTTGGTTGTCTTTGTGTTTGTTTAAATTTTAAATAGTCAGTGATAAAGAAGTAATGGTGCGATCGACTGACATGATACAGACAGGACAGAGGCTCTTTCTGCAGAAGACATGCGCAGTAGAGCCAAGTGACAGCGGTACAGGAGTAATAGGAGCAGCAGATACTGACACATGAGCCTAGAGCGCCCTCTTGCTGTGAAAATTTTAACATACTGGTAAGTCATATCGGATAACAAGTCGCAGGAAACACACAAACTATGAAAAAACTGACTAAAAAAAAATACAGTATTGTTATAATTTTGTCAATATTGCCCAGCCTTGTATTAAATTTTTTTTCTCGACATTTTACTTTATAAACTGTATCATCATATATGTCCAGTGTTGGGAAGGTTACTTTCAAAATGTATTCCCCTACAGATTACAGATTACACACCAAAAAGTAGTTTGTAACGTAATCCATTAAATTACTTAAAGTGACTAACGTAATCTGAATACTTCGGATTACTTGATTTGCTGTAGAGAAGCAAAGACATCGTAACATAAGATTTTTTGTCTGCTAAAAGAAAATAAAAAACCCAGACTTTACCGAACCGTATTAAAAATATTATTGACAGAAGAGACATGTCCGCACAGGGTGGTTTAGTCCTGTTTTAGTCCTGTTTTAAGTCCTGGTTTAGTCCTGTTTTAGTCCTGGTTTAATCCTGTTTTAGTCCTGGTTTAATCCTGTTTTAGTCCTGGTTTAATCCTGTTTTAGTCTTGTTTTAATCCTGGTTTAATCCTGTTTTACACCTGGTTTAGACTTGGTTTAGATCTAGTTTAGACCTAGTTTTAGTCCTGTTTTAGTCTTGGTTTAATCCTGGTTCAGTCCTGGTTTAGACCTGGTTTTAGCCCTATTTTAGACATGGTTTAGATCTAGTTTAGACCTGGTTTACTTTCCGGCAATGAGTGAAATTACCAAAAAAATAAATAAAAGGGTGGGGGGAATATAGCCCCAAAATGTGAAAACGGGAAAATACCGCCGTGTAATCCATTTATTTCAACAAAGTAACTGTAATCCAATTACCCCTCATTGAAAAAGTAACTGTAACCGAATACAGTTACTTGTAATTTGTACTCTGATTACGTAACTCCGGTACATGTAATCTGTTACTCCCCAACACTGTGTACGTCTCTTTCTGATGTTATGATCTCATTTTCAGTCTCTCCAAATCTGAATATTCACATCTCAAAACTGACACAATACACCTTTAAAAAGCCCTGAATAATACACATAACTTACTATGTATAAACAAAAGACAGAACACAGATTCTAGATGAAATACAACATTTATTCACTGTGAATCCAACAACATATATATATTTTTTAATGTATATTTTGTATTTACAGAACATCGGCAAGTGCATGCTACCAGAGTAACACACCGACCAACAGCATCAGCATCATCATCATCATCACTACTCAGAAGGCAACAGGTTTTTAAAGTAACGGAGTACTTTATGAAATGTATTCTGAGGTATGCAGGACTCATGTGAAATATTCCGTAACAGTGTAGCTCTATTTTCTTTTCTTTTTTTTTTGGAATGTTTAGTTTTTGGTCGAGCAGGAGACGGGTCCATTGGATTGTTCATTATTAGTAACGTTGGTGCACAAATATTGTTTATAAATATATTTTCCATACACATTTTTGTATGACTTATAGAAAATATTGAGGGCTGATATTTTGAAGTACAAGTGACATTTTGGCAACTTCACAAAAGAAAGAAAAAAAAGAAAAAAATAGGGGTGGGCAATATTTATTTTTTGAGAATTATCCAGATAACGATATTACAGTTTTTAAAGCTTCATGTTACGTTTTATTGTTTTGAAAATGCTATGTGAACATAATAAAGGTTTAATACGTTTCAGTTTCGTGCTTAGACTGTAAAAAGACAACGTCGCCCATAGCGTTCGGCTTCAGTCAAATGAAGCTCATCGTGGCCGGTGGTTATAGGAGCGAATTTAGAGCCAAGTTTCATGTTTGGAATTTTTTTAAGTGGGGGTTTGCAATTCGTGACATCAACAACGTGATGAATCCCAACAACCTAACCTAATATTTCATGTTTTTTTTTTTTACTCAAAATGATGCGGAATCATGTTATTAACATTAACACCGTTCAGAATCACCTACAGAACATAAATCATAGACTACAACACATGAACCAGGACTAGAACAGGACTGAACCAGGACTGAACTGAACCAGGACTGAACCAGGACTGAACCAGGATTAATCTTGGTCTCGAGAATGAGAGAGAGAAGACCGAGTCCATGGAGCAGGGTGTCCGCGAAGCACGATCGGGCGCCGGCTGTGCTTAGCCCCGTGCGGCGTGGAACCTCGGCCTACGCGAGGGCACCTCCGAACCTGTCCCGACAGTGAGTCCTGGTTCAGTTCTGGTTCCATTCTGGTTCAGTCATTTTGCCTGCAGTCACCCGACGGTCCACACGGGCACACCTCCGGGCCCGTCCACACACTCAGTCCTAGTTCCTTTAGTCCTGGTTCAGTCCTGGTCAGTCATGTCTCAGGTCACTAGGACAGAACTGTAGATATCATAAGCCTATGCAGTTTGTTTTCACCTTTTCCAGTAGCTCCAGTTTGACATTTAAGTTGTAGCTATTTTATATTTGTTTTTTTTATATCTGAAGACAGGAGCAGCGGGTGGACGGCCCACTAAACCCCCGCTCAAACCTGTTACTAACACTAGTGGGAAAGACCTTGGAAAAAGAAGGCACATGATTTGTCTGTTATTAATGTTTATATCTTGATTTATGGACAGAATAGCAAAATAAAACCTTCTGGATCATGTAGAGCCGGTTAATACGAACATTTTAAGCCCAAAATGACAAGTCTCACTGCAGCAGTCACAGAGAGAGGGGCCGCGGTTTTTCAATAGAACGTGAATTAGAAACAAAGTCGATGGAGCCAGAAGTGTGACCCAGGTTAGTTATGTCCATTTATATAAACGGTCTATGGTTTTGTGATGGTTTGACTCACTTTAAATGCAACTTTGAGCGGGTAAATGAGAAGGTCAAGCTATAAAAACTGTAAAAAGGCAAGAATTTTGGTTTGAATGATCAATGTCTAGCTCTTATTTTTTGCTATAATTTGTTGTAACAGTAAAAATATGGAGAAACAATCAACTATTTTGACAGTTTTAACTTGAAATTCTAATTTTGGAAACTCCCAAAACAGCAATTTCAATATTATTCAGTAAAAGTTATATTGCCCACCTCTACTTTGAAGTGATTTTGTTTTGTAAGTTTTGAGCAGTTATTTCAAGCCATTTGTTAGTAGAATTGTAGATCATTCTCTAGCAGCCTTTGGCACTGTAACATCTATGTACATAAATATAGCAGAGGTTGTCATCTTTTTCCATCCAGAGGTAATATTTGGCAACTGTTAATGACTCAAAATTGCCTAAAATGTCACTTGCTCAATTTCATTTTCGCCCTTATGCTTTACAATAGATAATTTTTTATACATGGGGCCTGAAAAATGCAATAAATCTCATAATTATCAGACAAAAACGGCCTTATTTCAGTGTCATTGGCGTGGTTTGAATACGCGTACAGTCGTTTGTGTTTAACCGTCGATGTCCCAGCTGAAGAGATGATGCTTCACTAACATGTCCTGCACGCCTTCTTTCAGTGGCCTGTGCTCATTCTCCTGCAAGACAAAAAAACAGGGACAAAATGACCACAGAGACGATTGACGTTGGGGACAGGGGGAGGTTATGGTGAAGGAGGAGACGCCAAAAGAGATGCCGGTTATCTGGGTTATTTAAAACACCACACGAGTGCAAGAAAGAGTCACCAAAACACCAAAAGTGACCGTGACCCAACAGCCAAACACCATCTGGCAACTGGCACCATCTTCAATAGGTGAGTTTCACATGACGTCACAGGGCTACGTTTGTCAGCACGCAAAATCAGATGGAGGGCAGGAAGTGAACTGACTGGAGGAAAATGCCGATGTGTTGTGTAGTTTACGGCTGTGCCAATTGTTCTAACCGAGAGAAGGAAAAGCGATTTTTTTAGAGTACCGAAGATAGTCGTCCACAAAGGTCAGAAATGGGAAAAGCTGACAGAACAATGCCGCAAAAAGTGGATTACAAACCTGTTTGCGGTCGGGAGGAGCAGAATTCGCTAATGCTCGTGTCTGCAGTGAACACTTCGACAAAGGTTTGTTACAAAGCTAAAGTGTTTTTTGTGGTTTACCTAAACATACACGAATCATTAACGACTAACGGCTGACGACGTTTGTTGACATTAAATAGGTTTACTGTCTAAATCAGACTTGGAGAAACTTATCCATGCGTTTGTCTCCAGTAGGTTAGATACTGTAATGTTCTGCTCACTGGTCTCTCCAAACGAGCTGTGAGACAACTGCAGAACATCCAGAACGCTGCAGCTCGGGTCCTTACTCGAACTAGGAAGTACGAGCACATAAGTCCTGTGCTCAGGTCTCTGCACTGGCTCCTGTGCCTCAGAGACTTTAAAGCAGCTCTGCTTGTACAAGTCTCTCCATGGCCGAGCACCAAAGTCCATCTGTGACATGTTAGTGTCATATGAACCATCTCACACTCTGAGGAGCTCAGGGACCGGCCTCCTGCTGGTGCCCAGAGTCACGACTAAACATGGGGAGTCAGCGTTTCAGGTTCAAGCAGCTAAAACCTGGAACAGTCTGAACATGTGAGACAGACTCTTCTGTGACGCTGTTTAAATCCAGACTCAAAACATTTCTGTTTAACTGTGCATATAACTGAAAGGTTTTCATTCCGCACTCTTCTCTCCAATTTATGTCTCTCTTTTTTAATTTTAATATTTATGTTTTGATTTGTTTTTATTATGATTTTAATGTATTTCTTATTCTGTAAAGCACTTTGAATTACTTTGTGTACGAATTGTGCTATACAAATAAACTTGCCTTGCCTGCCTTGCCTAAATAGTTCAGATAGAGGTTACTGCCGATACACTGCCGTTTTTCCCATAACAGTCTATACACATAAAATAAGAGAAACACTCACCACTGACAAAAAAAGTTATATGCCTCCAAACTTTTGTACGCCTTCATCTGTTGTCTGGTGTAGAACGATGTCTGAAGAGCTAAATAGTTGGTGATATCCTCTGCCACGATTGACAGCAAATCTTTTACTTCGGTTGAAAATTCTCTCATTTTCAATAAGATGGGGTCACACCCAATATATTTGTCGACTAACTGCTCGTACTTTTGCCTTGCTACTGGCTCTAAATCCTTACAATAAGAACTCTTCTCCGTATCTGTGTTCTCCAGAGCCGTGCTTGTCGTGTTTGTCTTCACTTCCTGCCCTCCACCTGAAATTCGCGCATCATCGTGATCACGTGACTGACACCCTCCTATAGATGCATCAAGAACTTCGGACTTCCGATTATAGGCTATAGACACATTATTTCTTTAAAATTTTGTTATTATTTTCTATTTTGCTTGTTCTGGATTCAATGTTTAAGCAAAACTATTATTAATCATTTATTTTAATAAGAAAAGCTCTAACATTACATATCTCAAAAGAAGAGAAAACACGCAGATGTTCTTGAAATTCTGCAATAAATATTTAGTTTGGCCCACGACTTAGTCCCAGTTTTTAATTTTGGCCCTCTGTGAATTTGAGTTTAACACCCCTGATCTAAGCAAAAAAAAAAAACAAAAACACACCCATAAAGAATAAATGCTAGATGGATTTGTTTAAAGTCATACCCTGGAGCATTCCAGACAAAGCAATAAGATCTCCATGGGGAAAAGCGGGTAGTGGACCCTCCAACAGAAACAAAACTCCTAAACTGGAGGATTTGACCTGTGGTGCATGGTTTGTTTAGACAGTTGCAGTTGGGGCCTGTCTGTTTACAGATGGGTTATAGCCTGTAAGTGACCATATGCTGAAAAATGCACACTGTAGGACTTTTAGATTCACTGTCAGAATAGTACAAAAAGTGAGTGATTCACCAAATGGTGGATTGGGACCCTGAAGCAAAATTTAATTAAAGTGGAATTAACTCTAAATCTACTTCCTCTGCTCCTCAAGCTGTCGGTCTGTATAGTGTTTTATTAACACTGACCGCTGTGGTCCTTTTTGTCAATCTTAGTGCAAAATGACAAAAACAAAACTGTGAAAAACTTGAGTGTGTGCTGCCTTCAGTGACCATTGCAGTTTTAAGTACTATGTAACATCACACAGGACTGCCCTGATTACAGAACAGGTGTTTCTGAGTACAAACACCTGTCAGCAGAGGCGGAGTTTAAAGTGTGAATACCTGTTAGACCAATCACACGGCTCCTTACACCTCCAGACCCCGCCCCCTCCTCCTTCTTCCACAAGTACTCTGCAGCTCTGTTTGAAATGTGGTTGTGGGTGGAGTTTAGGTGTTTAGTCCCACTTTAAAAGGTGCCATTACATTTTCTCTATGTGATAAAGTAAAATTTGACTTGTCCCAGAACAAATCTATGAGCTCTTGGGGTCACAATAAGTCTGCTGTGAACTTTCTGCTGTGAGCATTTTCATCCTCCAAGAAGTAAAGCTGTTACTATCGTGCTGGTTGTTGTTGGCATTAGTGTGAAAGCTCGGCTGTGGCTTCTGAGAGTTGCGGAAAGCGCTTATAAACTCTTTGCAGTGAATAATTAGTGCGCTCGGAACACATTAGTACAGTGAAGAATCTGCTGAGCCTGACCACTGGAGATGACCACACAGAGTCCCACAGTCAGACCAGAGGAGAAGCTCGAACACCACATATTGTCACTAGTCTAAAAGTGTCAGTGACAGGAGAATTACCTAGAGATCCCAACTAAAGAGGTGATGCTGAACCAGCACATCCATAACGTCTGCTTTCAGAAGAGCACTGGTCTGGAACAGCACACAGGTGTTATATTTACTAACCTACATGCTACAGCTACAGCTACACTAAGTCAACTCATCATGGATATTTGTGGAACACGCGTTGGGTCGGGAAACAGACGGACTCACCTCTTTCTTGTCAGGAAGCTCACAGTCCTGAGACAGACTGAAGGCAAACTTTGATAAGACCCTGAAACAAAAGGACAACAATCATTACATGTGGCATTTTTCTTCGGGGTTTCCTTTTTGAGGTTTCTTGTCTAAACTGAACAAAGTCAAGAGGCAGAGGACTTTTTTGTACTCATTTTTGTTCAATTTCTAATTAAAGAGAACAAAGACTCATGAATATTTGAAAAATAAACGGAAAGCTGTGACTGTTAGTCAAATCAGCTATTCTAGGAAGAATCAGGACCAGTTTGTACTCCAAAATAAAATTAATAAGCCTTGTGTATTAATTATTCCTGTTTTTTGTGTTTTTTTTCTTGAATAAAATTTTTAGTGAGATGTGGGAACTTTCAAAACCAAACATATGCTCAAGCTGCCATCTATTGTATGATCCCTCCAGTTTTACCTAATCTTATATTTACTAAAAATAATCCAAGGATTTGAAATCTGATTTTCATCTGTCCAGAGATTTAAATTTCTCTGTACTTTAAACAAACAGGCTCGTCTGATGAAGGGTTTAGAATCACGGGTCAAAAGACAAACAGAAGTACCAGGAGAGAGCGGTGCGTACCTGAGTTCACACTTGATCTGGACCCAGCCCGGGCTGCGCAGGAAGGACCAGGGCTGGTACCACTTCTCCACCACGGCCATACTGGAGCACAGGACCTCCAGCCACAAGTGCAGCACCTGCTCACTGAGGGCGAGAGGGCAGGAGGGCATTTTTACACTGTGTATGAGTATGTATGGTTATATATACTGTATGGGGTATGTCTTACTTGAGACCGACGCAGATCAGAGACCTGAACTTGACGTCCATCTGAACGTTTGCAGAGTCGTGGCTCATGTTCACAGACTGCACGGCCTGAGGAAAGCACACAGATGAGACTTTTTAGACGAACCACAGGGATTATTTTAGATCTACTCAAGTACAGTATTCAGATTCACTAGAACCAATGCTATCTTCCGTATTTGCTGTTAGTGGACATACAGAAAGTGTGTCTTAAAGAAGACCCAAATAAGATGAAAAGAAGAATACGTACTTGTAAGAACTCAGGCTATGTTTCTATGATGACAGTCTGAATGCAACGCCACTTTTGCGTCTTCACTTTTTATTTCGCGTTTAAACGAGTGTTTTTGGGAGGAAATCTGCATGCAAGTGGTGACGCAAAAGTGTGTGGAATTCAAGTGGATATGCATGACAGGCGGCTCTGCGGTGACGCTGATCTGACCACAGTTTTGCGTCTTGGGCAGTGTAGACGGAAACGCTACGGCGGAGCAGATTCAACTTTTCCACTCTGGAGGGTGGGTTAAAATTTTTGCGTTTGAACTTCCAAAAACCCCGTCACCGTCTAAACGAAAAACACTTCTGATAAAATATTTTGTCATTTTTACCCGCAAGTGTTCTCGTTTTAGTAAACAGGCCCTTAAATTAAAATGAACAGACATTAAAAACACAGTGTCCTGGAGTCAGACCATTTGTGAAGCAGCACTAACAGCTACCAATATTTCCGTATAAATATATAAAAATCAAATACTAACTGAGGAGAAAATGACAAAATCAAGCACTTACTCTGTACAACAGCTCCTCTGGTGTTAGAACTTTCCCATCTTCATCTAACCTAAATGTATGGAAATGGAAAATGGATTTAGTGACACTAAAATGTACACAATAACACATAAAGCACATATTTACCTGTATGTTTTACACAGCACCAGTCTGGAGTACACAGAGTTGAAGTCTCTCTCTACTTCTCTGCTCGCCGCCTGAACAAACCACAAAAAACATATTAGACACTAAATAATATAAAACATATGTAGTAAATATATGCCACTCTTTTTAGACCAGCTCTCATAACTGCGATCTTAAAGGGAAATTAAAAACTATACGGAAGCGTCAATGAGTTTATTTTTTCTCTTGCTGGGGAATTAAATCTATTTGTTGCATTGTTTTTTTAAAGATACTGTGTAGGGATGTAACAATAACCAAAATACCGTGATATCTTATCATCAAAAAGTCTCACAATATATCGAATTACAAGTTCCTTTGCTTAAATACACGATTTTATAGTAGCAACAGCTTATAAACATCGGGAACTACATATCCCATGATTCATTTCAGTGCAAACAACATGAAGAAATATGTTTTTTACTTGAATACTGTTTTTTACTTGACTTATGACGGAAATAATTCACACCAAAATCTTGTCAATGTATTTTAAAAGCAGAAACGTGTCCTATTTACAATTATATCAGCCTCTACAAAATATCGCAATAAATATCGTACCGTGAGATTTATATCGTGATAATATCGTACAGAGAAATTTGGATATTGTTACATCCCTAACACTGTGCATTTAGAAACATTTAGTTTTATATGTGATTGTCCTGTTGTCCTGTTAGGAGCATAAAGTTATTTCAATGATCATTTATCGTGATCATGTAAACGTAGTGAGCGTTACTATGACAACATGTACCCACCTCCTCTATGAATAACCAGGGGTGGCACGGACCTCCCAGTATGGACGGCTTCTTGAGGCCGTGGTAGAAAATGGCCTTCAGAGCCGGACACAGAGTTCCCCGGACCAGATCTGTCACGGCCTCTGTGACGGTGTCGTCTCCTGCCAAAGAGTACTACCCACATACACACAGGGAAATATATGTTTGAATAAGTACAGAGGAAAGTATACACATAAATAAAAGAACGCCTCGTTACCTCTTTGCTCCTCTCATCCAGGATTTCAACAAATTTAGCAGGAAACCACCCTGAAAAAAAAGGTTTAATAATAGATTAGCCAAGTTTTAATTTAATTAATTTTTTTGGGCAAGTAAGAAATTTACATTATTTTACAATCTAACATATAACATGAATGAAATTATGGCAAAAATAACAACAAAAAAATGACCAGAACGGAGCAGAAAGAAGAAAACCTATTTAATTTTCTTCTCCTATAAGTTACTCCACTTTTTACATTTTTAGTTTTCAATTCAACAAAAATAAGTACTTTTAGACACAATTCTAGTCATCATTAATTACGTCTTATGTTGTTTTGTTGTTGTATGTTGTTTATACGAACTACCGTGAACTACATAGACCATAATTCTTTGCGGTAGTTTACTGCAGCCGATGAGAAGAAAGAACTGGTATTTATAATTCAGCCTTTTTAAATTACTTAAAGATTGCTTGGAATTGGTATTACACTTTGCCCTGAGGAAAAAGCTGTTCAAATAAGGCTAAAAAAAATAAGGAAACAGAAAAGTTCTCACCTCGGAGTCCGTTGAGCTCCCCCACCCAGCAGTGCTCGTCTTTCTGTGAGATGATCTGGAGAAGAAAAACGCATAATCATAATTCCTGATTTATGCAGTACGGTTTAATTGTAGTTTAGGACATATTAAAAGAACAGTTTGTGCCAAGTAAACAACAATTATGTGACTATTTCATTAGAAAGCAGAACAATGAGAACTTTATATACCAGATAAAAGCACACTGTCTTCTTTAAAGTATTCAGTTTTAATCTATTACATAAATGTAGTCATTATTTTATTTTTTATTTTATTTTTCATTTTGAATTGTAATATTGATTTAAAATAAGTAAAGCAACGGGTCAACTGGCTTTTGGTTGAATCATCGTTTTGGAAAATAACTAAATAAATATCTAAGTAATCAGCAGTGGGAGTGCTACAGGGAGTTGCTAAAAACGGAAATTTTAAGAGTAATGGATTTTTGAATGGTTAATGGATTGTTTTTCTAAGTTTTATTTGCATAATATGTCTCCTTTAAAGGTGCATTGTGTAACTTTTCTGGTGGAGGGCCCAACAAATGCTGCTATTGCTTTGTCTGGAATGTTTCCCAGTATGGCATTAAACCTTTCTGTTATAATGGAGACCAAACCAGACCAAGTTACAGGTCAGATCTGTGGCGAGGCGACCCCGCTCACAGTCAGAATGTTGTTTTTCTAGGTATTTTTGAGCTATAAAACCATCTGCAATTGAAAAAAATGTAAGTTAGAGCTGTTTAATGTCATACTGTGGAACATTCCAGGCTGAGCAATGACATCTCCATAGAGACAAGCAGGTGATGGACCATCAATCAAAAAGTTACACAGTGCACCTTCAACAAAACGTATGTAATGGACGTTGAACGTAAAATAATCAGGTGGTTTAAATCAAATGTAAAGCAAGTAAAAAAGAGCATTGTGTTTTCCTATTTAGAGTGCACACACACATACATCAAAATCAGGACTAAAACTTGAAACTAAAACTAAACTAAACTTGGACTAGACCAGTACTAAAACAGGACCAAATCCTGTCTGTTGGAATCAAATATAATCAAATATTGTTAATGTTGTTTAGTCAAGAATAGTTTGACTTTGTGTCTGGAAGGTGGTGACGTACAGTGATGATGTCGTTTTTCCTGAAGCCCAGCTCGTCGTCGTCATGCCGCTCGAAGTCCAGCAGAGCTTTGGCCCGCCTCCTCCTGTTCCTGGACACCATCAGGAAGTTCTCGTGGTCCCTCTGGTGGCTCTCCATGGAGTAGTCCGGCGTCAGGTCCTGGAGTAGAATACATTACGTCACTTACATCTTCTGTGACACTTTTAAACATTACACAAAAAACAGCTCTGAATATTTATATGTACCAACAGGACTAAAGCAGAACTAAACCGATTTAATGAATTAATAATTAAGTCATTTAAAAAAAAGGACTAAACTAAACCCAAAGCTGTAAATGAGGACTCAACCAGAAAAAAACTAAATAAGGACTAAACCACAACTAAACTAGGACTGAGGTCAGACTGCTAAACCTGGAACAAACGGGACAAATCCAGGACTAAAGCCTCTCTCAGACTCCACCCGGTCCAGCTGTAACTCCAGTGCCAGACCGGTTTTGCTGTATTGTGACACTCAGAGCAGTAACTCTGCTGTGCTGTTGTGTCACTGCCTTTGAAGCTCCATAACTAACCATTTATTAAGGGAAAGAACTGCGGTCAGCTCTGCCGTTCAGCCAGAATAGTCTCCCAACAGAAAAAATCCGGAGCGTGCAGTCTGAGCTTCTCTCATTATTCTGAATTACCATATTTTTTAGACTCTAAGTCACACTTTTTTCATGGTTTGGGTGGCCCTGCGACTTATACTCTGGTGTGACTTAAAATTTTCACACTGACAGCCGCGACAGGACGCTCTAGGCTTGTGTGTCAATATCTGCTGCTCCTATTACTCCTGTACCACTGTCACTTTACTGTGCATGTCTCCTGCAGAAAAAGCCGTTGTCTTGCTGCAAGTAGTGAAATATTCAGCCGAAAACGGTAATCGAGCAGCAGAAAGAAAGTTTGGAGTGAGTGAGAAAATTGTGAGGGACTGGAGATAAGTGGGGATGAAGAACACAGCTTTACGGCAACCGGGAGGATGCACCATGCAACTTTCCTGGAAGTCACTGGATGGATCAAAAGCCTGGACTTCAGTGACACCGAAATCATCCTGTCGGGATTCAGAAAGGACAGAATAATTCTAACTGGAACTGATGCTGAGTCTGACGACAGCTACGCAGAAGAGGAAGCGGCGTTCTGTTTACCTCATGGATCTATGGTTTATCTCCAGAGGTCGCTCAGAAGTGACACCGAGGATGTAGAATTGAATGGATTTAATGATTTGGAGTGAGATGGAGAGTTTGGTAAACTTGTTCTGTTCTGTTGTTTATGTTATATTTATCTGAAGAACTGTTCATATGTGACGTTAACAGTCTGTTGTTCTCTGTTCTATTATTTTTACTAGAACTTGCGTTTCAAGATAAAATGTCGGTTCCTGGTATCTGATTTTATAAAATAATTTTCCCCAAAAAGGTGCAATTTATAGTCTGAAAAATATGGTATACAGAAAACTTGTGGTCTCTGCACTGGAGCTGTATGGCATCTAGTCTGAGCCCAGGGTAACTCAGACAACACCGTCACTCCAAACGGTCACCCCAGCACCACAGTCTGACCACTCCTAACTCCTCTACACTTCCTCACACTGCCCCTTCATCGTGCCCCCCGCAGGTAGAGTACCGTGCTCCCGTGGCGTGGGTCCAGACAGTGGAAGTGCTGAGCTGTGCGCGTGATGGCCTCCCTCAGAGCAGCCACCAGCTCGGTCTGTTTGATGTTCTTCGACTTGAGGGCCTCTGCCTCGTCCTCTCCGAACAGAAGAGAGCTCAGGGTGGACTTCCTGCGCAGAGACTGTCTCCTCACCACCTGCACAGACACAGAAAATATACCTCTTTTACAGATACTACAAACTTTTAAATTAAAACTTTTAAATTCATTTTTTTACAGTTACACTTTGTTATTTATCTAACTTTTATTTTGCTATTCAAATATTAAAGAGGGGATATTTTACTTCTGTGGGGTATTAACAAGCATGGAGTATATTTAAACATATTACCTTTTGTTTTGAAAATGTTATATTCTCCGAAACAACATATTAATTTGCTTTATACGTTTTATAGTTCTTGGCGCTCTGAGTCTGCATCTTTGCTCCCTGTGTTAAGTCACTCCACCTTCAGAGCGCTATCAATCACCACTAATGAAACGACTGCACATCGTACCAGGTTTGTCAAGTTGTTGTTTACAGTTTTGTATCATGTTTTTGTATATTTATGGAGTATTGTCGTGTGGGAGCGTGGGTGACGTAGGCTTGCGGGCAGAACATTGCACCGAATCTTACAGGTAATCATAAGGAGGGTTAGAATAAGGCCTGAGACATAGGGGTGTGCAAAAATATTGAAATATTGATATATCGTATAGTTTATATTATTTATATTGCCAAGAGTATTTTTTTGGTATATTTTACTCAATTATTTTGTTACAGCGCTACATTTTTGTTGCTTGTTCAGAGGAAGGAAACTCGTTTATACAACACATTTGACATTTTCACCGTTTTGAATGATTAAAATGGGTGTGTTTCATATTAAATTTGCACAAGAAGTGACAATGACTTTTATTATCACAGCCATGATTTAGCCAGTATTTTTATTGAACCGAATTTAATTGATTTGAAATATATCGTACTGAATCGTATCAAATCGTAAGCTCACTGCATCGAGATATTTATCATATAGACAACTTCTGAATGATACCCAGCCCTACTGAGAGAGATCCCTAAATTACTCAAACATGCATGGATGATATCTAAAAACTCTTCAGGCGTGTTTTTGATAAGAGAACAACGTGATAAGATGGTAGAAAGCTCTAAAAAGAACAGTATTTTGTGTAATACTCTCTTACAATGGTAATAATAATATAAAAGACCAAGACAAAAGTGTAAAAGATGTAATAGTCGTGTTGGAGTAGGCGTACCTTGTTGATGCTGCTGTTGATCGCCGTGTTTCCGTTGTTGAGCTGGGCCTGCTCGTTGAGGATGTAGGCCAGGTGCTTGTGTCTGTGCGCCTCCAGCGTCTCCTGTGACAGAGAACCAGCCAGCCTCATGGCCTCTCCCAGCAGCTCCGCCACGTCACGGAGCTGACTCGGCAAGTCTGAGAGCGTGTTAAAGATGGACGCCGAGTTCTCAGATGAAACCAGCTCGTCCTCCTGCAGAGACACGTACACGGAGTTGTACAACAGAGACGTTCGTGATCACGTCTATGCCTGTGACTAATGATTATTTTGGTGGTCAGCTAAAGAGTTTTCATTCATTTAAACAGCACTATGTAACTTTGCCACCATCTTGTCAACATGGCGCCTTGTGGTTGATAGAGATGTTATTGTTTTGCCTGGAATAGTCCATGGTATGGCATTAGATTTAGATTTATTACTTTCAACTGAGACAAGCAGGTGAGGGCAAGTGGAGATGCCAGATCAGATCTGAGAAGAAGCGAGTCCACTCACAAGTAATGCCGGTGTAATATTTTGATCGTTTCACTCAGCCCCAGCTCAAACTTGACAACCAAATCGCAGTGTTTAAAAATTCACAACTCACTATTCATATTTTCACACTATACGAACTACTTCAACTGTGTGAAATCCTTACGAGAGGCGACTGGATTTTAAACAGGTTTGATATTCTTGCGACCTAAAATTGTTGAGCGGGAGGTGATCGTGAGGAATTAATCAGTTCTCGTTACCCCATGTTTACACAAGGGACGAATGAGCCAAAACTTGACCCGATCCCAAAAACAGTCACACACAGTGTACACCCCCGGCTTAATGTTCTTTTTTTTTTTTTTTTTTTGCAATGAAAACAGCTGTATTTGAAAATAGATATGTTTAATGCCATACTGTGGAACATTCCTGGCAAAGCATTAACATGTCCATGGAGTCGAGCAGATGGCTAACCCCACCAGAAAAGTAGCATAGTGCACCTTTAAATGTCAAAATCTGAAAAATATTCTTATGTGATTTTAAATAAAAGTGAACCCCGTCTTAATAACACATTTGTTTATGTAATTTCATGAATATGTCCTAATTTGTTAGGATAATCATGAATAAGTTATTTATATTAAGTTATATATAAGTATAATAGTTATTATTACATTATTATTATGATCACAAAATAATAAGCCATAATAATCTTACAAGCAACACTATCAACTTTACATGTAATATATACTAAAAATCATTCAATCCTTTACTTAATTTTTTTTATTTTACTGTTTTTTCTTCAAACTAACATTGGATTTTGTAGCATTTGATACTTTACTGGATGTGGAAATTAGTCTTCTCATTTCACTCGTCTTTCAACCAAGATCTGGGCTAGGATCTCAGTCGGGAGTAGCTAGCCGGAGCGTTTAACCTAAAGTGCACGTGATGAGTACCTTGATTTTGAGCATGCCCAGTGTGACCTGGAAAAGCACCAGAGAGCCCTGGTAGAAGAGCAGGTCCCAGATCCTGAGCAGCAGCCGGATGTCCACCACACTGGCAAAGGACGTGAGGAACCAGTGCAGCGTGATCAGGGACAGCTCTGTGTGCGAGAGAGCACAAATAAAGCATCATTGTTACTCTTAATAAAAATAGTGCCTCAGACTTAGAAATAATGATGACTGTGGGACTGTAAAAACTGCACTTTGAGGACATTTCAAAGAAGACAAGCTCTATCTCTGGTATTTACTAATAAACTAATCCTAATTTTCATATTTTGATCATTGTCCCATAATAATATTAAACAAAAAAAGGCAAAACTGTAGAAAGTATGTGGGCCTAACCATTTCACATTCAGTTTATGACCTAAGCCTTGTTTCCAGGTCAGTAGGGGTGTGCAAAAATATTGAAATATCGATATATCGTATCATTTAATATGATGATACAGTATCGATATCTTGGGCTGCTGTATCGATATATCACCAAGAGTATTTTTTGGTATATTTAACTAAATACATTTGTTACAGTGCCACAGTTTTGTTGCTTGTTTAGAGAAAGGAAACTCGTATATGTGACACATTTGACATTTTCACTGTTTTGATGATTAAAATGTTCACGTTTCTCATGAACTTTGCACAAGAAGTGGTTTAACAAAGACTTTTAGTGTCACAGCCATGATTTAGCCTTTATTTTTTATTGAACCATATCGAATCGATTTGAAATATAATGTTTCGAATCAAAAGCTCACTGTATCGAGATATGTATCGTATCGTGGCCCATGTATCGATGTATGTATCGTATCGGCAACTTCTTAATGATACCCAGCCCTAGTCAGTACAAGACAGAATGCTGGAGGTACTACTCCAAAGCGGTCTGGAACGGTTGGGATCTGGGACTGGCTCGTGAGGGGGGGCTAGACATTCAGTCATTGGACCAACTGCACTCCAACAGCGACACACGCATGGCAACGCATAAATAGTGTGAACCATGTAACTGTTATTTAACAACAGCGCAGATGCACTTAACAGAAGAAGCGACACAGCGAGTCAAAAGTGTTGTGTGTAATAATAACTCCACGCCAGTCACAGTCTGCTGTCTGTTAACATGAGCCACACTCTGCCAACATCCTCCTCCTCGGTCTCAGTAAAAGCACAATTCCCAAATGTTGTGCCTAAATCCAGTGTGGAGCGTGTGTGTCTAACGATGCAGCCAAACAAGAGCTCAAAATGTTATCCATAATCCTCCACCTCCGTCGAGGGAACAGTGCAGTAAAAGAGTTATTTATCAAAACAAGGGCATGTGCTCCACGGTGACGTCTTTGCGTACAGCCAGGGAGAAAACAAGAGTGAAACTTAAGTGCGTGTCAGTTCATGTGAGGATCAGCTGTGCGCTCTGGTTCATTTACATGTGCATTTGTTTTGTGTTATATTTGAACATCGACCAGTGTTGATGCTCCTTTAGTTTAACACCGGTCTTTTGAGATCTGTCCAGTGGCTTAAGATGCAGGTCTACGTCACACTGTTGGGCGAGTCTTATAGACCTAGTCCAATCAGGTTTATTTGGTCTTCCGATAATTTATGTTATTAGGTTCTTTCTGCAGACCAAGAGTTTGTTTTCATACCTGACAGTTTCGACTGCTCACTAGTGGTTTTCCTCAGAGTGGTCACGTGATTTCGCTTTGATGTTTCCAGTCAGCTGATTTAAACGGGTTTGGGCACCGTCTTCCTACTGGTGGAGGGAGGACGACAGCGCCATCTGCAGCTCGACTTCCTTAAGACAGTATCCCAGGTGTGTGAGAGTAAAAAAGCCCCTTTGTCCCGGTTTATTATCTTCTTGACCTGTGTCACGCCCAAAGCGGACCGGGCCCATTGCCATGAAAACGCTCTCCAGGTTGGGGTGACCACCTCCTAACTGTTACGCGCCAAGTCGGTCCCAAGCACATCATAGCAGTGGAACCAAGGCTGTACGGTCTAAATTTTCAAAGAATTAATTAAGTATAGATACAAGTGAGCACACGGTCATGGGTGGAGATAGGCGGTAAGTGAAAACAGAAATTTTCTAAGCACTCAAAACAGAGGATAACATACTATATCATCCTCTAAAATGAAATGGTACATCAAGGGGAATTCTAGTAATACATTTCAGTAAACTAATGATGAGAAAACACTGTTACAACATGGTAAAAAGAGTTGATATAGCATAATATATCTTTTTATAGTCCTTTCCCTCCATACCTATATCATGGTCCTGCAGGAGGCGGTCCAGATCGGGCAGGTACTGCACTATGAGCTGCCTCAGTACTCTCTGGTCCGTCTGCACGCCCAGCAGAGTGGAGGAGAAGTACGAGGGAGGGAGGAGGTCTTCTATCAGAGCGCACATCATCCACAGCACGTCCTCCTCCTCCAGGAACAGCAGCAGACACGACACCACCTGAGAAAAGAGGAGGTCAGACAGTCAGAAAAACATATAGAAGAGGAGACACCGCATATGAAGTTGTGTTTTACTTTTAAAATGGTACATGAGACCATACAAGTGAAATAATAAACCTAAAAACTATGATTGTAAAAATTTGTCTCCTTGGTCTTCTGAAATAATAATCTACCCACACTCAGAGTAAAAGTGCAGTGGTCCACCCTGTACAGTAGAAGCTGGATCTCACCATCCCCGTGCCCTGGCAGTACCCGATATCCGGATAAAGCCATGCCAGTCCTCGAAGTACCCGCCTCAGCCTGGGCACGCCCACACTGCCCATGTTGTTAAAGCAGGCGTTAGAGGGCATGGTCCGCAGCAGGTCCTTCTCAATCTGGGGGAACAAAGGACAGAAAACGAATGTGTAAACAGTGTGTCATTTGATTTGCTGAGTACGTGGAGGATAGTAGAGCATCTGACCTGTTTTGAAGTGGTGCTTTCATCATTTGAACTGTTCTTAATAATCTCTCTGTAGGAAATCTCAGAGGTCCTCTTCTTCTGGAGTGCTCCTGACAAACGCATCCAAAGCTGAGAAAAAACACAAAGCATTTTCACTACGATTTAGAGCGTATATTACCAACAGTTGCAGCATTTTTGATAGCTTAAAAAAGGGGTAGTATCTGATTTTTTTCATGTAATAAATTCACATTTGTTTGTAGCAGTACAGATTGTAAAAGCAGCTCTTAGGGTCAAGATGAAACCCTGTCGGCATGTAATTATAACGCATTTTTATGGTCCAAAAAACAGAAAGAAAAGCTGGTCTATAAACTCATTGCACCTATTTCTTATTTATTTTATTCAAATTACAATTTTGCAGACATATTACCCATTATAAAACACACCATAAAGTAGTATTTGAATCACTATTTGTTGCTTATAGTCAAATAGTAGTATCCTAAAGTAACAGTATACAGCAGTGTTTCCCAAACTTTTTTTCTGGGGACCCATACTTTAAAAATCACAAACCTTCACGACCCAAATCAATAGACATTATTCGTAATTCACAAAATAAAGGCGGATTTGACCATTATTGAACATTAATGAGGATATTTTATTGTTGACCAAGTGATCGTGTCTCTCTGAACAATTAGTATTAATCAAGTTTTAAACAATGAAAAACAGTAATTGAACCAGCAATAAAAGGGATCAATACGTCTCCTATTTGGACATTAAATGTAGCCCATTTCTTTTTATTTTCAGCATTCAGTAGAACCAGCAATATTGTAAAAAAAAAAAAAAAAAAAAGTAAAAAAAAAAAAAAAAAAGTAAATAAAATAATTACAAAAAGATTAGAACTTATACAAAACATGTCTTAACACTTTGGCATATGTCAAAACTGTATATTGCAGACCTACATGCTGATCGTGACAAGGCGACCCAAACCAAATCTCTTGCGACCCAGTCTTTGGGAAACAGTACCTCTTATTTCTGCTGCACTTGAGTGTAAGCTTCAAGAGAATATTTATGAATGATGTATTATTGTATTATTATTGTATGTTATAAATGTGTTATTCATACAAACCAAACAATGTTGATGTTGCTTTCTTTGTGATTAAATGTTTTTTGGCATGCATATCAGAGTATATAGTTCAGACAAGCATTTTTTAAATACTCAACTATTATTTGAAAGCCCCTGAACCTGAGTTTTTCCATTGGTTTTGTCTAGGACAGATAAACTGTAGCAGCTCTAGAGGTCAGAATCAGTGAGCTGTGTAATGTCTGCATCTAATTATAAAGTGCTTTATTGTCAGTGAATCACTACATCGTTAACATGCCACAATAATTAGGAAATTTGTTATGAGGCATAATGTTTAACTAGTGTTTTAAGACCAGGTCTTTAATAGACAATTAGTTACTTGTATCATTGATTAATCATTGCAGCCCTCATTACACGTCGTACATAACCTAGAAAAACAGCACAGTAGAGATGCACACTGTGGTACCTGAGGTCTCATGCTGTGTGGTATTCCCCCCAGCACCAGCGAGCGCAGCCTGTCGGAGCGAGGCAGTGTGGGGGAGATCAGGTCCCAGGTCAGGTCTCCCACTGTGTGGTTGTGGGTGAACTCCAGGTGAGCCTGCCAGCGTAACCTCTGCTGGGGGTCCTCACGCTGGGGAGAGCCTTCACTGCACAGCCAGCTCTGGGCCTCCACACCCTCTGGTACACGCAAAGGGAAAAACAAGCAGTTTAAGTACGAGCTGTTAAGTTGTTGTTACAGAAGTTGTTGGAATAATGGCAGCAGTTGCAGAAATACCTGTGCTACTATAACATATACCTTTATCATTTTCTGTATTCCATTTTATAAGCAAGTTTTTGAGGGTCTAACATCTTTTGGTGCTGTACCGTGATAAAACTTTGAAAGCACTGAGAAACTAGTTTTACAATAACAATTTCAGAAAACTTGGATCATCCAACAAACATAAAAGATTACTTATTTTATTATTTATTAATAAATAAATCATTTGTCTGAGTTGAGGTTACACTTGATTCTGGTCCAGGTTGAATCCTGACTGGATTTCTGACATGTGTTTTTTTTTTTTTTTTTTTGTTTTTGTTTGAATGAATTAAAAAATATAAAAATATATCAATATCCATTTAAATACTTAAAGGTGCATTGTATAACTTTTCTGGTGAAGGGTCCGTCAAACGCTTTTCTCTGTGGAGGTGGTCTGGTTTTGTCTCCATGAAGACAAAAATGGTTGAATACCAAGTTACAGGTCAGATCTGTGGAGAGGCGACCCCGCTCACAGTCAGAATGCCTGTTTTACTAAATATTTTTGACTTATAAAACCACCTGTAATTGTATAAATGTAAGGTAGAGCTATTTAATGTCATAGTGTGGAACATTCCAGGCAGAGCAATGATGTATCCATAGAAACAAGCAGGTGACGGACCCCAAACGAAAAGTTACATAGTGTACCTTTAGCACTTGGTCATGGTTTGGTCCAGGATTGATTCTGGTTGATGTAGACTAAGTTTGGTCCTGTTCTAGTTCTGTTTTTTTGCATTTCTGAAAATTGTTTTAGGTTTTGTTTGTTTTTGTCTGAATGAATAAAAAATGTATCAACATCCAGTCAAATACTTAAATACTCAGGTTAATGCCGTGATGTGTTTTAAATACCTTCAATGTCGACTCTGAAACCAAACTCATCGTACTGGACTTCAGGCTGCTCCGAAGGGTCTTTCTGTAAAAACAAAACCACATAAACAACACTTTAATCAAACGCCTTTTGATTCTATTTATCAAATCATATGATACAGTGGTTATGTTTACATGCACACCCAAATCAGATAATAATCTAATTTCTGGATCTTCGAGGAAATTACTGAAAAAAATGACTGTAAAATCTGATATATAAAAGTTAATATTCAGATTTTGAGCGTGTACATCACCGTAGCAACATAGTGAATGCCTTATTTGACACCAGTCTCTTGCTATTTGTCGTCTTATCTACAGTTTATTATTACCATTTATATTTTTTTCTCTCTGTTATTATATTATAGTGTGATGTGTGAGCTACTGTGTCCAATTTATTTCCCTTGTGGATCAATAAAGTCTGTCAAAGTCTAAATCTAAGAATGAATTCTCTCAAACCTGATGGTACTTGGCCAAAATATCCTGGGGCCACATGCTGGGGGTCAGAGCGGAGAAGGGCCCACCAGGAGCCGGAGTGTACGTGCCTGAAAGAGAAACAGACAGACACATTACGAGAAGAAAGCAAAGGAAGGTGAGGCAAAGAAACTACCACTGCATGGACATTTTCAATAGACACAAGAAGGTGACGGACCTTCCACCACAAAAGTTAGGCAAGGAAAGTTTATTTATCGTATTTTTCGGACTGTAAGTCGCACTTTTTTCATGGTTTGGGTGTTTCCTGAGGCTTATTCTCCAGTGTGACTTATATATTCAAATTTTCACACTGACAGTCGTGAGAGGCTCTAGTCTTGTGTGTCAGTATCTGCTGCTCCTATTACTTCTGTGCCACTGTCACTTGGCTCTGCTGTGCATGTCTCCTGCAGAAAGAGCCGCTGTCCTGTCTGTATCATGTCAGTCAATCGCACCATTACTTCTGTACCAATTTGAACAAACTTATTAAGATAACTGAGAAAACTAAACACAAATGCCACAAAAAAGAAAATAATTTTGCAGATTACAAGATGCAAGTAGCGAAAAATGCAGCCGAAAAACTTGTGACAACCGGGAGGGTGTGCCACGCAACTTTCCTGAAGTCATTGGATGGATCGACAAAGCCTGGACTTCAGTGACACCGAAATCATCCTGTCTGGATTCAGAAAGGCCGGAATAATTCTAACTGGAACTGATGCTGAGTCTGACGACAGCGACACAGAAGAGGAAGCAGAGTTTCTCAGAAGTGACACCGAGGATGAAGAATTGAATGGATTTAGTGATTTGGAGTGAGACGGAGAGTTTGGTAAACTTGTTCTGTTTTGTTGTTTATGTTATAGTTATCTGAATAATTATAAATATGTTACGTTAACAGTCTGTTGTTCTGTTGTTATTACTAGAACTTGCCTTTCAAGATGAAATGTTGGTTCCTGGTCTCTGATTTTATAAAATAAATTTCCCCCAAAAGTGCAATTTATAGTCTGGTGTGACTTATACAGGTTTTTTCTTCTTCATTACTCATTTTTTGGCTGGTGCGACTTAAACTTCAGAGTGACTTATAGTCTAATAAATATGGTATATATCACAATTTGTAAACAAAATAATTCAAAGTGCTTTACAGAATGAGGAAGACATTAAAAACACAATACAAACAAATCAAAGCATAACATTTATCACAAAATTAACATTAAAAGAAAAGAGAAAAGTTACATCATGCATCTTTAAGAGCTGTTAGATCCGATCAAACACAACATAACGTACCTGACATGGTGCTGGGCTCTTGGTCGGTCCGCGGCGTTCACCACTCTGCCGGAGCGTCAGAACGTCTTTACTCTGGAGGGATCACAAACAAACAACAGCAGACGTGTTAGTCATTGAGCAGCTCTCACAAATGTGGACCATATGACTGCGCTCCAGGCTCGAGGCTCACTCACTTCATTAACGAGTGTACAAAAGAGATACTGTTCCGTTTATAACCGAACACATTACACTTCTGAAACACGCCAGTTTGCCTTCTAAAAAGGTCGGACTATTTCAGGAAAACAATTGTGTACAGTGTTGTTGTTGTGACCTGGTTTGTGACTGATGTTTGTCCACAGTGAGAGCACATTGTGGTCTTGGTCACGGTCGCTGTAAGGTGCATTATGTAACTTTCACCGTCACCTGCTTGTTTCTATGGAGACGTCATTGCTCTGCCTGGAATGTTCCACAGGTATGACATTAAACAGCTTTATTTTAAATGTATTAAATGGTAGGTGGTTCTGTAGCTCAAAAATATCTAAAAAAAGAGGCATTCTAACTGTGAGCGGGGTCGCCTCTCCACAGATCTGACCTGTACCTTGGTCTGGGTTGGTCTCCATGAAGATAGAAAGGTTTAATGCCATACTGTGAAACATTCCAGACAAAACAATAACATCTCCATGGAGAAAAGCATTTGACAGAACTTCCACCAGAAAAGTTCATCACGTTTTTTTTTTTTTTTTTTTACTGGGGTTTTGTTCACAGTGAGTGCACATTTTGATCTTGGTCTAAATGTAGAATTAGCTAATTTTACACACGTCTCCAAGGAAATATGTTGCCGTCTTCACAAGGCTTTATATTATTTAGTAATTGCAGCCTTAGTGACTTGGTACTTGCAACCACTAAAATACAACTTAATTTGGACTTTTTATGGGGATTAAATGAACAGTTTAAAACACGTATCTTCATAAAGTTGCTATTGCTTTTCCAAGAATGTTTTACAGTCTGGTTTTAAACTTAATTGGAGATGGTTTACAGCTAAAAAAAAAAAAAAAAAAAAAAAAAGCCAAACAAAAAAATCCATTATTGCTGGCGAGAGGGCCTGGTGGTGTCATCTGCTTGTCTCCATGAAGACTGATATATTTAATACCACGCAAAATATCTAATTGCAATTTTTATTACTTACATTGTGATTAGATGTTTTTGTTTAGATGTTTAGATGTCTGATTTATGTTTAAATAAGAGAATTCAGTTCACATTTTAAACATGTCCGGAAGAATAAGACACACAAAACGACTGAAATATGAACTGAAAAATAATAAAAGAATCACATTGCAGTTTAGATCTATTCAGATTTTTTTTATGTAGAAGCAGATGTAATATTTTGGTATTTGTGGAGGAAATTATGTAGCCTGATTCATCAGATGGTTTCACTTCATAGAAACCGTCTGACCTCGCAGCATTAGAATTCGTTCACTTGACGGTAGGCGGAAACTTTTTATCATTTAACCAATCGCTGCTGTTTTGTATATTAAGCTTTTCCCAAATCCCATAGGAAGAAGGGCAATAACATATTTCCCCTTGATAAAATTCAACAAACATTCTCTTTGTTCCGGCTTTAAATCCTCAATCTCAGGAATTGTTGCCAATGCTGAAAGTATGGCTCTTCGCTGATTGGCTGATGCCCGAACTCACACTTCTGAGGTTCTTGTAAACCATCTAGTGTATTCCGATTCCTGTCCTAGTCGCTGGAGAGAAATGAAATTGAGCGGAGGCACTAGGTGGCACCAGCATGGCTAGAAACTATGGTACTTCAAAAACTACACAATTTTTTTTTTATCACGTCCATTTAAAAGGTGCACTATGTAACTTTCTGGTTGGGGGTCGGTCACCTGCTTGTTTCTATGGAGATGTCATTGCTTTTTGGAATGGTCCACAGCATGCCATTAAGCCACTGCACTTTTCATTCATTCAATTACAGGTGGTTTTATAGTTCAAAAACACCTAGAAAAACAGACATTCTGACTGTGAGTGGGGTCGCCTTTCCACAGATCTGACCTGTAACTTGGTCTGGTTTGGTCTCCATGAAGATTGAAAGGTTTAACACCATACTGTGAAACGCACTTGACGGACCCTCCACTAGAAAAGTTACACAATGCACATTTAAACTGCAATTCAATTAACCTTATGGCCCTGTTGGACGGACTGTGCAAGATGAACGTGAAGAGTGGGAAGCGACATTCAGCAATTTCCTAAAGTCACAAATATACCGACGTCCTGCAGCAAAGCCAACGGGGATCAAAACTGTCTCCATCGAGGTTTAGAATTCTACTTCCTCTCTGTCCTCGGGCACAGGCTGTTTCAAAAACCGCCAAGCAGACCACATGGCCATTTTGTGATTATTTGCCAAAAAAACGAGATCACGCTGGAACAACAATAGCTGCTTTGAAAAGGAGATCTCTAAAATAGCTGGAGGAGGAACAAAAACACGATCGCTGTCTGTGTGGATGTGTGAAAAGCGAAAAAACACCCATGCCAGGTTTTCATGTTTTTCTTGGCTTTGTGGGATAGAACCAGTGGTAAATATTTATCATAGTTTTACATCAGTTACGTGGCGTTTGTATTTTTCTTCTCAACTCTTTTTTTCCCCAACAAAAATAGAAGAAGTAGCATTGAGTTCCAAAAGAGAATCCTTCAACCAAACAAAATAAAAATGTAATTTATTTACACTGGTCTATTTATTAACTAACTATTGTGAATTTGACAAGTTTTGGAGTTAACTTGGGGCTGCTCAATTATGGAAAAAGTCATTATCACAATTATTTTGGTCAATACTGAAATCATGATTATTCAAACAATATTTTTTTGTTACGCAATGCATTTATTCAGCATTTCTCTCTCAAAAAAACTGTTGTAATTGATCATTTATGCGAAACTGAAAATAAATATAGGCTACAAATATGAACCTTAGAGCAGATATGCGATGTATAAAACATCAAATGAATAAAATATACGTTGAACATGAAATAAGACAAATGAATCCAAAATGAACTATACATCCAGCTGTTCTACAATCTCTATATTTACAGATTTGCAGAAGTCCCATTGACAGTTACAAAAATTGTTTGATTGCAGAGATTACATCAAAAGGATGTGTAACAAAATATTACATTAAGTGTACCATTATTTTTGTCCTGGCCAGTTTTATTATTTTGTTTTTTCAAATGATTCTGTTTAACCACAGGTGAAAAGCAATGTTTCATTATCATTGGACAATTTTTAGTACATTTTTATTTATTATTGCTTTTAACAGTTTCAAGTTATTTCAGTGACCATTACCAGAGGGGTACCAACAACTTTGTTCACGTCTGTAAAAAAAAAAAAAATAAATATACTTAATTATATAAAAAATATCTCAAAATAAGCTTTAAATCATTTCAGCTCGATTGTATGAGTTTGGAGATCGTTTGACACACAAATAAAAAACGCGAACAAAATTCAATTAATTATACATCTTTAAATTAAATCATATCATATTTACTGCCAAACAGAAAGTAAAATCATAATCTTTACAAATCTTAAAAAGCACTTACGATGCGTTCTTGTTAGGGCTGGGTATCGTTAAGAAGCTGCCGATACAGCACACTTTCGATTCAATATAATTCCCTGCGATCTACTTCAAACTGATTAGATATGGTCGAGTAAAAAATGAAAGCTTCTGGTCACTTACTCAATAATCTACCCCATTACTGAAGATGAAAAGCGTACATTTGTTTACTGCATGTGACTCACTAGAACAACACATCAAACTGTTGCATTGGTCACTGCTTTCTCACGGCTCATCATGGCTGTGATACTGAAAGTCACTGTTAAACCACTATCTGTGCAAAGTGACTATGAAATAAACCACGTTCATCACCACAACCGTGAATATGTCAAATGTGTTGCATAAAAGAGTTTCCTTCCTCTAAACAAGCAACAAAATTGTAGCGCAGTCACGAAATAATTTGGTAAAAACGTACAAAAAAATACTCTTGGCGATTTATAGCAACACAGCAGCCTACGATATCGATACTGTATCATCAAATTAAACGATACGATATTTGCACACTAATATTTGTGGCTTTTATTCACTTTTAAACGTGCTTTTAATCAACACTTCAAATTTTCTAACTTAAAAAGGTGCACTGCGCAACTTTTATACTTGTGTCCATGAAGATGTTATTGCTTTGCCTGGAATGTTCCATGGTATAGCTTTAAACATCAAGCATTTATTCATTAACGGATGTTTTTATTGCTGAAAAATGCAGTAATTCCTTTTTTAATAGGTGCAACTTCTCCACAGATCTGCACTGTAATGTAGCGTAGAGCTGTAAACTGCTTGGCTCTCTTGTGATAGGTTTAAAAGGTTTAATCTGTATTGTGGAATATTCTAGACAAAGCAATAACATTTCCATGGAAACAGGCAGAAGGTAGAGCCTCCACCAGAAGTTGCGCAGTGCGCCTTTAAAATAGAAAACACATTTATAAACTACATTTCCGTGTCTATTGAGGCATTTAGGAGTGCTGCAACGCCCTCTGCTGTCAGCAACGAGAATGAACAGTGAGGATATTAAACAAATGAATCCAAAAGACAACGTGGATGCTACACTAACAGAGCTATGTGTTTGTAGGAAACACAATTTGAGCACAGAACGAGTCTGGCGATGATGTAAGGCAGCGGTCTCTAACCTTTTTCCTCCAGGGAGTTACTTTTACGAAACAAAAATGCCAGAGAGCTACTAGTTTAATGGTCACAAGAAACTGAGTAAATACAAGAGCCACGGCGAGCCTTAAAGGGCCCATCTCAAGCAAAATAACTCTTTTCACATTGTATCTTCTGCACATATACAAGCACAATTTGGGTTTTGGAACATCCATTACACAATAGTTATGAAATCTTACTGATTTCTTGGAGGCAGTCACAGACCAGGAACTATGAAAGGCCGACTATTGCTCATCCCCCCCACCCGTCCTGAGAAAACACAGGCTCCGTCCTCCAAACGTGACGTAGGCTCTGAGTGAGACGACCTTCCTCCGCCCATCTCAGAGAG